AACAAGATGATTAGGTCAGTGACTTTATTGGAAAAACCACAGTTGCTTTTATATGTAATTTTACATGACATTCTCATTTCTCCGTTGTGAATATCCACATATTCACCTTAAGCATTTCCTTTGCACAAAACAGCGTCTCACCCTCTGTCAGCGGCCCGCTGGGAGTGTAATCACATTTCCTGCTGAGCTGATATCACAAAGCAATAACTCATTCATATTCTCACTTCTTCATTCATGCAGTTGTAGGAGTCATAATAAATGGTCATGCTTGTGTAAAATTTGGTGTGTGAGTTGTTGGAAGTATTAATTGAAGTGAAACATTGAACACATTTTTTGTACAGGTTACTGCTGGGATGCCACTGCCAAAGGAATATGTGGAGGAGGTAATGCAAAATGTTGTTATACACTATACAATATGTGAACTGAACATCGCTGTTTTTAACGTCATGCTCGTAAGCTTATTTAAGTGTGTTTTGTGTGTACCTGTATGTAGAACCTTGAGCTTCTGGAGAAGGGCTGCAGCAACATGAGGAAACAGATAGAGAATGCGCAGCACTTTGGTGTGCCTGTGGTGGTGGCTGTCAATGCTTTCAAGTAAGTCATGGATGATGACATTTTTATTTCACTTAAAGCTGCACAAATCAATATTTTTTTACATTATTATTAATTTATTATTTAATAATACATTATTATTAATCATTGGTCAAATGATTGCAGTATATGTAATGTGAACAGGGCAACTTAAAGTGACAGATCCACTCATTTCTGTGCCACAACTTTGCTGTCTTTACCTGAGCTTCAAATGGCAAAAATAGAGCTCAACAAGAGTGACTATTGGTCTTACATCCATCAGAAGGGCAGAAACTTGATTCCAAATTAATGCTAATGTTGCTTCATATCTGCTGGATGTTTAGGCAGCTGTTGGCTAACATGTTAACAACCTCATAAGGGGAAACATGACAATGTTGTTTACAGCTTGTTTGTGCTACCCCCAAGTGGTCAAAAATGAATTAATGTAGGTTTTTAAAGCAGAATCAAGACACAGTCAATCTTTTTTCACTTCCTTTTCATATCAAGATGTAATCACCTTTCTTGAGGCCGAAATGTATTATGTCAGTATAGAGATTAGGTGATAAATAAGATGTAAATGTCATTGTGTCATTTATTATTGACATGTAGTAGATTTTTCTATGTCTATTTATCCCGCCTTTCTTGTGCTGATCTCTCTTGCAGGACAGACACTGAGGCTGAGCTGGACTTGGTCTGCAGCATGGCCAAAGCCGCCGGAGCCTTCGAGGCTGTGCGATGCTCCCACTGGGCCGAGGGCGGAGCTGGCGCGGTGGCCCTCGGTCAGGCTGTCCAGAGGGCCTCCGGGGCCCCCAGCAACTTTAAGTTCCTCTATGATTTAGAGGTATGGCCTCTAACCTTGATTCGCTGTAGTCGATTGTTGGATAAAAATGTAGTATTTGAATTAGTTTGATAGAAAAGGTGTATATTTTTACTGTTTTGGCATTGGTCTGCAGGCATACACTGATGTCCATATGTATATCTCTACTTCCACTTTAGCTCCCTATTGCTGATAAGATTCGAATAATTGCCCAGAAGATCTACGGAGCAGATGATATTGAGCTTCTCCCAGATGCTCAACACAAGGTGGAGCTCTACACCAAACAGGTCAGCAACTGTTAATTTTTTTGTTTTTGTTTCATCTGTGTTGTCAGGGCTGTTCTTTTGGTTGCAGCCATCAGTGGAGAGTCTATAATTGGATGGTGAATGGTTGAATAGGCCTTTGTTTCCTCTTCTGCCATCAGGGTTTTGGCAATTTGCCAATCTGCATGGCAAAGACTCACCTGTCGCTTTCACATGAGGCAGACAAGAAGGGTGTGCCCAAAGGGTTCGTCCTGCCAATCCGAGACATCCGAGCCAGTGTGGGTGCTGGCTTTCTGTTCCCACTGGTTGGCACGGTAGGCTCACATTTACACTTTTTTTTTTTCCCCATTAATTTGTCTTTCTTATGGAGCAGTACCCTGCTCATACAACACTTGTAGCACTCAACTCAACTGTCTGATTCTTTTCGTTTAGATAACAAACACATGACATCGCACACTGTTGCAAACCCATAAACAGTGTGTTCATACTGTGTAGTGTAGAAGGTAAATGGCTGAATCCATACATGATCAAGTGACACCCTGCAAAACATTACATTTGTGTTTTTGTTTATCTGTGTAATTTTCCATCTGCTGTGTCTGCAGAAGGCTCAGCTGCAAACCACTTACCCTAACATTACTGTAGAAATAATGGTTTCATTCTTCATTAAACAGCACTGATAATGAAATCACTCTACATGTCATCACTTGAAAATCATAAAAGTAGATTGTGAGAGTAGTAGTAGATTTTTCAGCTTGCATTCTTTGTGTGTACAGTGTACGAGTACAATGACTGCTCAGTGTTTTCCTTGACAGTGTTTGTCATTTAAACGATTTTCTCTGTCTGTGTCTTTATCCTAGATGCCCACGATCCCTGGTCTGCCCACCAGGCCTTGTTTCTATGATATTGACCTGGACCCTGAGACTGAACAGGTCAATGGGCTCTTCTAAAACAGGACTGTACGATGGTAAGGGAGCTAGTTAAGATGTACATGTATAAATCTCACAGTTGGTGGTCACAGATCATGACTGTATATTGCCCTTTCTGTTTCCTCTTTTCCTCAGTGTATAGTTGTGGCCCAGCGCCCCTCCCCTACTGAGCCTTAATGAAATATGATGGACTGATAACTGGAAGTGCCTCAAGCTCGTCTGCTGGTGCTTTTTCTTTGTTGTTTTTCACTCAGACACTGACATCTGTAAATAATTGATTTGCTTTGCCCAGAGGGCGGCTGATGGGCAAATCAAGCAGCTTAATTAATCACAGGACCATTCATTCCCCAGAGATTGAAAATCTGTGATAGACTTTTCGCAAGGGGAAAGTATTCTGTTGACAGATCTTTAAGTTACTTTGCTCACTGTGCATAAACAAGCCCGACTTGTATTTTCCCTTTCCAAAACTCCAAAAGACTAGTATTTACTACTCGTATGTTTTGTATGCACTACACGAGGCCATCGCCTCCAGGCCACTGTCTTCAACAAGTCTTAACATAAAAATAAAGGGGCTTTACAAAAGGTTTAATGATTATTCCAACACACCAGCAACAGCAGGGCGTTATGTTTTTGGGTTGTCTGTATCTACATACCATTCCCATGAATGCAATATCTCAAGAACCACTCAAGGGCATCCCTTCAAATTTGGCACAAACATTCAATTGGACTCAAAGATCAAGTGTTTATATTTTGGAGGTCAAAGGTTAAAGTTCAAAGTGACGGTGACCTCACATTCTATAAATGCAATGTCTCAGGAACGCCCAGAGGGAATTTCATTGCCATATCTGGCATAAACATGTCACTTGGACTCTACGATGAATTGATTAGAATTTGGTCGTCAAAGGTCAAGGTCACTGTGATCTCACGAAACATGTTTTTGGCCATAACGCAAGAATTCCTGTGCTAATTATTACACACTAACGCAAATGTCCAATAGGATAAAATTATGATATTTCATATCGAAATTGTCAAAGGTCAACTTAACTGTGACATCATAACGTCCCATTATTCAACACTGTAACTCAGGAAGAGGAGATTGTGATCATATTTCCTGTAACTTGTCTGGTTGGCGGAGGCATACAATCGTGAGGCGGTACTTGAGCAATATTGTGACTAATACCTGTCAAATGTCCTATTTTACTGTCCTGTATTCTAACTGACTTTTCTAACTCTGTCTAACTGCTGGATCTGCACTGCTGTGAAAATGAACTGTCATGATGTTGTAAGTCAGTGATTTCGACTTTTCTGTCGGAAAAAGATCAAATAAAGTCTTCTTTACAATTTTTGGAGATTACAATTTTTTTTTTTACTGTATTTGTTGAGCATTTTTTCTTACTATTCTGCTACCTCCATGCCTTTGTCTGCAGTCAAGATTATTTTTATCATATTATGTCCAGAGTATCTGTTTCTGAGCATGTACAATTTCATTTTTTAATTGTAGTCTGGCTACAAATATTATATTATATATTTATATATTTTTAAAATACGTGTTATCCTTTATATTTATTTACGTCAATCCTGATTTTTACTCAAATTTTAATAATTATCTCACAGTAGCCTTTGAGTGCGTCCTTAAGAATGTACCTCCTCTTTACTGCACATATTTAAATCTGAGTATGTGACAACTCAATCTTTGAATATTTAGTAGTAAATATCAGAGTACATATTGAGTTGTTGTGCTTACTATACATTTGTTGATCTCTAGATAGTGAGTGATGATTGCTGAAGCATCCATTCAATAGTAATGAAGGTGAGCGTGATCACAGCAACTTTTTCTTTCCACAGCACAAATGTTGAATGAGACATTGTGACTTGTTGAAACACCTGAATGAAGAAAAAATGTTTTCCAGCTAAATGCATTTTTATTTCACATATCAATTAGGAAACAACTTCTCTAATGAATTTCAAGATAAACTCATCAGTCATCGCATCACTATGGAAACCAATGTGCTGTTGTTCACTTGAGTGTTCAGAGGCACACTCAAAGATGTGACACATACAGTGCCATGGGGTGGAATAAGGGGAATCAGTGAACCAAGACACAGTCATTGACCTGTAAGGAACAATTTTGTATGCATATGATCTTCAGCTGAAATATATTAACTGATAGATAGAAACAGTCTAATTTTAAAGGTTGGATCTCTGCAACTGCCACTGAGCAGTATATTGTGAAGAGAAAGGTATTATGTTTGTGGATTAACCAGAAATACTCATGTTTACCTTCAAATTATAGAGGCCAATAGAAATTAAACAATTACATTATGTACCTAAGACAATGAACTATAAAAGATCACATGCATCTGTTTTGGATAAATGTGTTAATATAGGGTCTGTCACTGACGTGAAACAATAAACCAGTCTTGCTTATTTCTGGATTAGTTTATTACAGATATATTTAATTCTGTACAATCATTATCACAGAATGGTAATTGAAGGATTTCTTCATCACGGACGACCACCACCACGCATTTCTTGTCCACGTCCTTGTCCTTGTCCTTGTCCTTGTCCTTGTCCTTGTCCTTGTCCTCCCTTGCCTCTGTTTTTCCCTTTTCCTTTTCCCTGTAAACAACAATAAGAAAAATGGCCGACTCTATTTTCGAAAAGACAGACAAATAAATGGCTGTATAATTTTAATTCAAAAAGCTTATAAAAGCATTACCTTTTTCCCCATTCCTCCTTCCTATAAAAGATAATGGGAAATTAACTCAAGGGTGCTACAAAATTACTGAATCAGCCAGTTAGCACACATAAAAAAAAAACAAAGTGACTTACTCCCTCTGACTCAGACCCAGAGCTTTCCTCCTCATCTGACTTCTTTCCCCTCTCCTCCTAATAGAGGGAAATAGCTTCATAAGCACACGTATCATGCAGTTAGTCACAGGTCTAAAGCACTGTAAGGAAACAAAACTGACTCACCGCTTTGCCTTCTGTGATAGGAAGACAAAAAACAAAGTTAAAAATGTGCAAATTAATAGAGCAATCACACACTAACTAAAATGAAATGTGTCAAAAGAATTTGCAAATGGGCAGTTGTGAAAAACACCTACAATCTTTGTTGAATTTAAGCCAATACTGCAGCGTGGAATGGAAAAAGGTCTGATCAACACAGGGCATTCCCTGTGTTGATCAGACCTTTTGACCTGAATTTTTTTTTTTTTTTTTTTAGCATTTTTTTAGTGCTTTTTTCCCCTTAACTCATCTGCAGTTGTGTGAAATATTTGAATTCCTGGGAACCAAACTTTTGTGCTGTTCCACAGGTGTCTTTGAAAATATAACAATTAATCAAAGAGCCTTACGGTCACTCATTTTGTCTTGTTGACAAGTGCAGTAGAAAGTATTTTCCTGGAAGAATAAAAAATGGGAAAAGGATATTAAAATTCGAATCATTAGGTTCCTAGCAGTCATTACAAATAATCGAGAATAGCCACTACATACCTGGTGCAGAGAGGAAACCGACTTGTGTCAAACGTGTGTTCACTCTGTATTTATAAGGAGCCATATAAGGGGGTGTGTTTGTGTTGTATGTACTTGTCATGTCATGCTATCTTACATTTTGATCATTGCAGGTCACGTAAGGTTTGGGTGTGGCCAGAAAAACAACAGTTTTTTTCTTTGAGAGTGATTGTTAATTCCACATCAAAACATCACATAAAGGACTCTCAAAGACACTGACAGCAGGGGCGTAAACCAGAGGAAACTGGTCCACCCTTCACTCTATGAGACAGGTTTTGTTCTACTCTGACTAGTCAAACTTTTTCTCAGAAAAATCACCTTGATATACAGCTATTTCCTGTTCGTTAGAGTATGTTTGGGGAAATGTAATGCCTGGATTACATTTTATATAAAAAATTTGAATGATCACATATCTGTACAAGAGTCCATTCATACAACTCATATAGCATTTGTGAATGAGTACTGAGAGCTTTTACTGAACTAAAACAAGCAAAATCACTTTATAAAAATACTCCATTACAAGTAAAAGTCCTGAATTTGTTGAAGTGTTGAATTTTACTTGCCACAAAGGTATTAGCAGCAAAATGTATTAAGCATCAAAACAAAAAGTGCTCATTGGGCGTTGGACAGAAAAAGAACAGAAAAGCTTAACACTGCTTCCTTTGGGCTCCATCATGGCACTGTTTGTATGGTATAAAATTAATCCTTCCATGATGCCAGGCCTCAGTGGAATTTGAGTCGATTATAGATAAACAAGGAACCTGAAATGCAAAAGCAGCAACACCCATGATTCAGGTAACCCTGGCACTAGTGTACAAATGTTTTTATTTTCTAACGCCAACAATAGTAACACCACCACAACTGTCCGTGTATTATAATTATACATGTAACAACTCACAACACACCTGCTACTATTTTAAGGCATTCATACAAAACTAATCATCAAAAATGTCACATCAGGTGATGCGGGTGTTGTGTGAGAAGACAGACAAACAGGTGATGATTGAAGAACAGGTTTGAAAACACCCAAACTATTATGACCTGTAATGATCTGTGTTTTGTTTCCTGAACTCCAGACCTGTCTAAAAATCTTGTTAGCAGGGAACTCTCATTTCCTCATCTACTGCTTTTTAATGTCACTCAAACTCTTAGTTCAGCATATATTGGCACGTATGTGTGACTCAGGGAAAGGAACACCTCATCTTACTTTCATCATTAATCGTCTGACAGACTCAGGCCCCTGGAGCTGCTTAACTGTCAAACAATGTTCAAAAGGCGTGGACCAAAAAGGCCCCTGTCTCCCTGTCTGTGCTGGAGTTGTCTGTGCCTTTGTCCAACCTGTGACAATTGGGCTTTGGCGCCATCCAGTGGACATAATGTGAAGATGACGATCCAGCTAGTGTGGATGTAGTATCTATCTATGAGTACTTATAGCGTTCTAGAATGGTGATTTTAAATTTTGGCATTGAAAATAAAGTTGGGCGAAAACAAAACCTGAACTGAAAAAGGAAACAATGGTATTGGAACACTTGTATAGGAAAAAGTTGAATTGGCACCATGGCACCAAATAATTTTCTTATATTAATTTAATATTTTCTGTATTACAGTGTGTTTTTCTCTCATTGTTAGAAGGGTGGGGGTTAGGGGCGGAGCAAGTAATGCGTGATTTATTTACGTTCAGACAGCTGGTAGGACGGGGTATGTAGGCAATGGCTTCCGCCAATTCACCTGGAACTCCCAAACCACAGGTAAGTCTGCTGCTTTCTGCAATGGTGTTTTTTTTACACAGGACTGGGCTGGTTAAAGTTCACTTCTAACGGACGGTATGCTGTTTCGGCAGAGGTCCGATGGAACAAGCATACATGTCAGCGGTCAAGCCCCATACTATTCTTGGTGTTTATTTCTGTGCAGAATTCTCTCAGAAACTTTATGTAATTTCCTGGTGTGGCCAGTAGGGGGAGCTACTGACTGAAATTATTCCAGTGCTACATGGGAAGAAGACATCGTCAGCCTTTACCAGTTGCTGGTTGCTATGGGCATAGACATATGGCCTTCACAAGTAAAAGAAGTGAGGATATCCTGTGTGTGCTCATAACACACGTAAGCATATGTGTCCAGTTATTTATAATATATTTAGCATGTTATATTCTTATGTTGGAGATATCGCTGTGATTATAGATAAAGTATGAGCTGTGTTTCGCAAGCTAATGGTTCTACCTGCACTGGCTACTTGAGCTAGCATAATTGCTCAACATGTAAGGCAGAGGATGTAAGGATGATTGATGATGACAAGGGATATGGCTAATTCTCTGGTTGCAGGAATGACACTGGCGGTGCTGGTAAAGACACTGATGAAGCCGATAAAATCTTGACTCACTTTATGGAAGTTCTTTGAAGGGCCACCGGCCAACCGGGATTTGAGCCCGTCGTCCCCATGGCTACAAAGATAGCTATAGCTGCTCCTTACCTCTGAATATTGCAAGGCTAGCTTTAGCTACTAACTCTTGGACTAAGGCTAGCATTAAGCTATTACACAGTGCCAGTAAAGTACCAGTAGTAAAGTAAAGCTTTAGATTTTGGACGTGATAAGGCTAGCATTAGGCGTTATCTTAAAGTTTGGACATTAGCTACTGACATAATAAGACTAGCATTATTTACTACTTTTAGAAATTTTAAGGGTAGCATTAGCTGCTAACCCTTGGACATTAGAAAGCCACCATGAGCTGTTAACATTTGGACATTTCAAGTTGAGCTAATACACACTCTTTGTTATCTTGTGATTTAATTTTTAATGTGGTATGGAAAATTCATGTCAAAATGAAAAAAAAAATTCAACGATCAAAGACAGAAAGCAATAATAACATTAATTTAATATATGTTGTTTATTTAATCACAAGTAAATGCAGATATAAAATGAAATACATGTACGGTATGTGTGTTGCATTTAACTTTATTTCAGGCATTTCAAATTTTCCATTCAAAGGAGCCCAATGAAAACCAACTCCGGAACAAAAAGTATGTGGATACAATGCAGACCATGTCTGCTTATTTTTGGCAATTTAGTTTAGTTTTTAGTTTAGCGATTTTGTTTATTTGTTGAACGTCTGTTTATGATTTTTAAAATTGAAAACCAAACAGATTTTTAAAATAGAATGGGTTATGAATGGGATGGGATGAGATGGTGCTTATCGGTGAGTTTATAACTTTTTAGAACATATAACATAAAAACAACCTCAGCTAACCAAGTTAATCGTAGTTTGGTTCATAACTTCCCTAATTATCGACATAAGATTTATTTCCAAATGGAAATGATCTTCATTTGAAATTCACTATATCACTGAAAAGTTGCATACCAACTGTAAGGTAGTAGTAGTTTACTAACAGCTTGTTTGTATCAAAAAGTGTTGATAGCTGATCACATTAGCTGCTTTTGTGTAATTTCTAAATGTCAGCTTTCAGCTGATGATTACTTAAACCTTGTGGTGAACCTGCTGACAAGTTGAATGCCATTTTGAACTGAGAAAGCTGGCGTTAAAACAGTCATTTAACAATAATCATAATTGTTCTTCTAAAAAATCCTCTTACTTTTACACTGAACATAGTCTCATGAAGTGGGACAGTAAAACTTTCAAACATACATAGTCCTCATAGCCAACAGTTGGTGAATTACAATACTAAAACTGTAATTATTAATTTTGATAATTGATAATTGTTTAATTATCCAAAAATATTTACAAAATGCAGTAGTTGTTGATATTTTATATTAATTAGGTGACAAATGGAATTAAATGACAAACATGTTGCAAGAAAGTTGAGAAGTTATTTTTGTTCATTTGTTTTTAATCAAACAATGATATTCCATCTTTTAATTGGATGAAGCATAATCGCTTTTTACAGTGTAATACAAACTGTCACCTAACTATGATTAAGTATTCACAAAGCACTGACTAGGGGTGCTTCTCAGTACCATAAAATGTCTCCCCATTTCCTTCACTTGCATCCTGTCCTTGTGTCTCAGTCCATCTCACAAAAGAAGAGATGCAACATCCTTTTCTCTAACCTGTAATCTAAAGCAATGTCTGGTGATGACAGCACATCTGGATAACAGCTGGATCAGCTGTCAGTCTGCAGATGTTAAGAGCCTCTTATGCCTTGGAGTTTGTAATTACACAGATAAAATTATGCACTGTTCAAACAGTAAGAACATCCATTTCAGCGGTGTAGTGACATCCTCCGACATGACAAAAGTGATATCATAAATGAACTTTTGGACAGCAGCTACACAATCATTAAAAAAGTATTTTGTATTTATATTGCTAACAGATCCATCAAACCACAGTTTGCAAAGTTACTGCTCAAAAACTGAAAGCTAGTAATACAACAAAGCTTGAATTATTTTTGAATTATTTGCATCTGCATTTGTTGATGGTCTGTTTGTAAATTCATTATGCAATTATCCAGGCTATGATGAGAATGTCTTCTAATTTGCCGAAATGATTTAGTAGTGTATATGTTTTAGTCACAGTGGAAATATGTATTCTTTACTACTTCTACTTTACTTGTGCTTCCTGCAAGCCCATATCACTATACTGTTGTTCTACTTACATTTGTTTCCCTGTTTCCAGCAGCTTCATCCTGAGGCAGCGGGAAAATGTTATGAAAACTGGGCTGCTTTTGATGACAATCCTTATGTATGCCCATCAAGAGGGAAACCGCACTCAGTGCTGGATGACATGACACCAGGTAAGATACAATATTTCTTCTGGTAATATGCCATAATCTAATAATAAAAAATAAAAAAAAACAACAGTGGAAAGATAGTTTAGATATTTTGGAAATTAGACTGTATTTCAGAGTTTTCTAACACAGTATCATTTGGTAAATATAACTTTGCTCTTTGCCTTAGTACTAAGAAACTTGTAGCTGATGTTGGACTGTAGTTGACCTACCTGGAGCATAAAATAAAAAATAAAATACTGCCTCGTCACTGACTTGGAGTTTGTGGTGCAAACGGGTTCTATTAGGGTTTTTGAAACAAAAAAACAAAAAAAACACCTAATGACAAATCTAGTGACTTTTTGGACAAACCTTGTCTACTTAGAAGATAGTCAAAGATATCCTGTCACTTCTAACTTTCTCACTGATTTTGTAATTGTTTTTGTACAAACATTCATGGTTCTCATAGGACGTATCTAAAAGATTATGGTGATTCCTGATATCAGCATTTTGGCATTGTCATTATGAGCATTTCAGCATGTTGTTCCTTACCATTTAGCTGACAGCACCGCCGTAGACTGGGCATGGCTGTTGACTCTTAGTCTTGTTAATTGATGTATAGGTTAAATGATTGATAAATAAAATGTGACCATTCCCTTTCACCTGACTTTACTCTGATAACAGGTTCAAACTGATAGGCGCCTTCAACTGCAGCTGCAGTTCTTAAACCTAATCACAAAGTTGAATCTCAATGACTTTGTTCAACATTAAGTACTATAACATGTTAGGGACTTACACATCATTTTTTCAAAACATTTCTTACAATAATCCTAAAATAACTCAAATACTTGCAGGCTAAACTATGCGTAAAGAGCTTTTGCTCATTAGCAGGATTGATCTGTGTAGAATGTAAGCTATGTGGACTTGAGTAAGCTAGAGTAAGCTAAAAATGTTGCAGCTCAGACTGGTAACTTTCCAAGGTGGAAATTGCAGAGCACTGACTCTGACTCTCAAGTGACTGACTTCACTGCAGCCTGTGGCATTTGTCTGCCAGACTGCCTGTTTGCTGCATGTTATGAGCTCTCAGACCTGGCTTTGGCAGATGCAGCTTGCCATGCATGAAGAACTGTGGGAAATTCAGCAGGCAATACCCCCCACCTTCCCACTCGACCCCACTCCCAGTCTTTAGGAAGCTTCTTTAGTACTCTAAACATGTAGTCTGGATCTTGTAGGCGACACAGCTGTTGTCTCATTTGTGATGTCTGGATTAATATTGTGTCATGTGTAGATGTGAATGGGGTCCCATTAGAACGGAAGTAAGCTTTTAAGTATTTTTTTTCTGATCAGTTTATCTTTATTTAGGACATAAGGGCATCGCATAAAAGAGATCTAAGCACTCACACACTCCATAATTAAAAAATATCTTAATATATTACCATCAAATTCTGAGACAAAAATATCTTTTTTCTACCTTACCTTCAACTACAGCAAATTATCAGCACAAATACAGATACCATCATCACCACCCATCAACTTAATATGCCTTATATATCAATAAACCCATAGACTTTATTACTTTAGAAAAGAAGGAAAGAATAAATTGAGAAAGAATCAGATATCGAATGTTATAAAATTATTGGCATATTGCCATTCCAGTATTTGGTGTGGTATTGTGTATGCTCTACCAAGCATACACACAGATATATATAAAGAATATTTTTTAATTATAGCATCATTGAAGCTATAGCGTTAATTTACTTAAAAATTGACTATGTGTGTGTGGGGAGGGTGACAGGATTTAACTACCATGCTTTGAGCAGAGGATAAGTGAGGAGGGGAAAGAGCAAGTGCTTTAGAGAGGGAGCAGGAGGGAGGGAGGGAGGATGTGCAGGAGGGTGGGAGGGTTGGAGAGAGCGAGAGAGAGAGAGAGAGAGAGAGAGAAAGAGCGAGAGGGTGGACAGGCGGGTGGGTGCTGTGAAATCCGTTAACAGGGGAGCTCTGTGCATTTGTTAGACGTCTTGGCTGCTTGCCCAACTTGGCTCATTGTAATCGAGGCATGATCGCCGACTCCAGGCAGCCCTCTCTGCCGCCTCGGCTGCCTTGCGCCTGGACCCAGCCCAGCTCTCACCGCTGACATGGAAAGACCCGTGAGTGCCTTCTCCTTCCTTCCCCTTCTCTCTTCTCATCCCACCCTCTCCAATGCTCTCTCTCTGTCTCTGGTATTAGGTTCCCCCTCTGCTCTGTCGCAGATTTAGCTGTGGCTACATGCTGCGTTTCAGTTGTGTCTCTGCCGCTTTCTCTCCCCCTGTTGTAGCTCCTGTAGGTGACAGGAATGCTGGGTAGGGAGGAAGCCTTGGCAGCTTTCTCTCTGCAGGCCCCCCTCCTCCCCCTTTTTGCCTGCCTGTCCGGGCATGGGTGCCGTCCACTGGCAGACCCACAACGTCTCTGTGTGTTTTGTGATTGTGTGTGTATGTGTGTACGTTAGCCTTGCTGCTGCACAATCACAGAACTGGCCAGCTGAACCCAGAGAGGTACCGTCCCCACACAGTCTCCCCACTTTGGTTTGTGGAGGCCGGCATTCACTTCAGTCTCCGCCATTGGCCTTGCTGAGATTCAGAGTCAGCAGCGTGTCTCTCCCTTGCGCCTATTCTTGGTGGTATGTCCTCATGGTCTGTTGTGTTTGGATACCCTGACAACTAGAAGCTGTGAGGTAACCACTTTCCAGCCTGCTGCCTCTTTGAGTGAGTACCAACTTTTTCACTTGCTCTCTGTATCTTTGCAAGTTTGAAACAGGTTTGAGATGCATTTGGATTCACAATGTATTGTCTTCGTTATTTTACTAAAAGTCTGTGCTGAGCAGAGAACTTAGAGCAAAAAGGTTGATCTCTCTTGTAGTAGGATTTGAGTGCAATAGGTGGAACACAACATCTCAGTGGCAGCCATTCTTTGCAGACGTACCAACAGCGGCGATGGAAAAAGCACGAAAGAATTTCTTGCAGTCCTAATGTGATGGTCTTTGTGCGCTCGCTAGCAGTGAGTCATCATTCTGAGCTAGTAATATCACATTGAAGCAGCCTCGACTCTCTTGTCGTCACTGGGGCAACAGTGGAGGATGACTGACTCGCTTTGGCACAACTACTTCCTGTCTCTGTCAAGAAGGTCTGACCCCTCAGAATAATTTATAGAGTGTGGAGAATGGGATACTTCAAAATGAATTGTGTTGTTTCACAGTTTCGACAAGCATCGGTGGCAAATTTTCTATTTGACAGCGGCATCATCTCTTCTCCACGGCCGTGAATAACAACAGATGATGTCAACACTGACTCAAAGTGGGAAACACTTGTTTTAGCTGATTGAGTCGAGAGCTTCTTTTTTTGACAATGACTGCGGTTCATTGAGTATCGTCTGAGTACTATTGTTTGTGTGCTGAATGAAATCCTTTTAAAGAAATTAAGAAAAATGCTGCTGGCCTACAATATGTAGACAACAGATGGAGGGATGAGACAGCAGCAAACTCTGACCCCAGCTTTTCAAAGTTTTGGCACATATTTTTCTATCACATCACTTTATGTCATAAATCCCAGAAAATTATTACTGTTAAAATTTACATTTTGATGTCCTCTCCAGATAGCTTGCTTGAGAGCAGAAATTTTTTTTTTTCTTTTAATATTATCTCATTTGCTTGGATCATGTGTCTTTCAGACAATATGTAACATTTTATATGAGCTGCCTTGTGACCGGTCCTCATGCTGCCATTTATACGCTGGTGGATAAAATTAGAGGAACAGGTCAACTTTTTGGGTAATACACTTACTTGCTTTCTTGCTGAGAGTTCGTTGAGGAGATTGATACCACTCTCATGTTTGTACATTAATTATTAAGGTACAGTCAGCAGTTGGTTAGCTTAGCTTAGCATAAAGAGTGGAAGCGGGAACCTCACAAATGAACTATTTTGTTTAATTTGTACAAGAAAGTAATTGTAAAAAATGACAAATTGTGGTTTTACAGGCTGTTATGTGCGGCATAATTTCTGCTGCCTGCCACAGTTCTACAGAAATGAGATTGATACCAATCCTCTCCTCTATTGGCAATGACGCAAATCTGCGTATTTCCCAACATTTTTAACAATTCCTTTTAAACAGTCTACGCTGTACAGTGGTTTTATGCAGCTTGTTCTTTCTTGTTCTTTGAAGAGAGGAGTTCCTCACTCACCATTCTTCTGAGGCATGCGCCCTATTAGTTTGCTCTACAGCCAGTTAAAGGAACCACACTTTCACCACTCACACACTCGTCACGTTAAGAGGCTACACGGACCAGATCTGTGACACAACATTAAGTTACCGCAGGCCGGAGGAAATGAGATCTCTGTTTTGGAGATGGCTGCTGCTTCCACAGTATCATTATCATTCAGTGTTGTTCCCATTTGAGTGTTTTTCAACTCACCAGCAGCTCTTGAACATGTTTGCAGCTGGTTTTGCAGAGACTTTCAATATGGGGCCTCTTGTCGTGTGAGTAGGCATGCCCTGCTGACCGCATCAGGATGTTTAGGATGCTCCGCAGTCTGCATATGCATTCTGCTGGTGTAACTGAGCTTCGTAATGAATGCTCCATCTGTGGTGGGTGTGAGGGCATGTTGGTGTTGTCACAGCACATGCAGTGGTGTGGACACAAGACGTTTTCAGTTGGATTGACCCTCCATCAATGATTTGTTCATCTGTGTCTTAGTTTCTGTTCCGTCTGTGAGTGGACTGTCTTAAAAGTTTTGTATTGTTTGTAATGCTATTTTTTATGATTTTATAATCAGTTTGAACTCAGAATGTATATGGATAAAGTGGGCCAGATAAGATGGAGTATTGAACCTCAATGCAGTCCAAATTGTGTCCATAGCAACGATTATGCAAATCTTTCCTGTGCTGAAAGTTGGCATAAAATATCTGTTATTCTCTGATCCAATAATAATTAAATAATGATACAATTTTACCAGTTGTATTGCACAGCTGTATGTATTTAGCCGACATTTATCATTTGACAACTTTGTTCAATGTACTAAGTTATTCAAAAAAAGTATTGTTTGGGTAGTGAAGCTAACAAAACACACTAGCATTGAAAAATGTCATAGTATTACTAGAACGAAGCTCAAAATATAAAGCTCAATTTGTGCTGAAACCCTAAAAACAAATTGTGCCCCATTTTAAATTGTTTTTTTTATTGTATCAGTGATGCTATGTGTCTCCTCCCAGACCGCCAGTGACATGATGCCCAAGAGGGATCATGAGAGGGACCTGGAGCTGGACAAGAAGATCGAGGCTCTCCGCAGGAAGAACGAAGCGCTCATGAAGAGGTACAAGGTAAGGACATGTGCTTGCAGGCTGAGAAGTATCTGTGATTTTCATAATTGGTTTGTGGACTAGAAATGCAAGTCTGGAGCATGTTATTTTTGTGTGAGGTCTTGGCGATTTTAACAGGCTTCCTGATTAGTTGATTGTTTTCATTGAGTTGCATTTAGGAGGTGGAGGAAGACAAGAAAAGGGCGGAGGAGGAAGGAATGGCACTGCAGAGTCGCAAGGGCAAAGCTGATGATCTGACCATCACAATCAGCAAGTCCACCAGTGTGAGTGTCTGCAATATGGTAAACAGACTTTCTGTAGAAGACTCGATGCTACAAACTACATAAATATTTTATAACATGTTCCCCTCTTTGGTTTGAAGCAGGATAGTCGTGTGGTGGTGACAAAGCCATTCAGCAGCAGTTCACCAGCTGGGAAAGGACAGCAGGAGGCTGTGCCTGACAAGGGGGGAGAAGGGCCTTCGCAGGGCGCTGGCCGAGGCCACAGGAAACAGTTAACGGTCACCATGGCTGGCAAAAAGGTAAATTCACCGCACTGCCAATTTCCACTTTCCTTTTAAGTGACAAGGAAAAACATAGGAGAATGCACATTAATGAAAGATTAACACAAAAGCAATTCCTCATTCAAATCTGTAAAAAAAAAAATCTGTAAAAGCAGTCAACCAGTAGTCTTTAGGAAGAAAACAAGGGATAACTTGCACAGAAAGTAAAAACACTTAACAGTTTTAGATATGCAGCGTAGATTTTATTCAGTGAGCTGATGTTTCTGCAACAGTTTGCCTTCTTAAGAACTAGAAGCTTTCGACCACTGTACAGCCATGGTAGGTCATACAACAGGCAAAATGATAAGGATATTGAATTGAAAATATTATGATTATTGTATAATATGAACTAACAAGACCTGTATTTATATCAAAGCCATGGTCGAGGCTTTGATGGTACTGTGAGAAAATGTTCAGCTAACAGTGAACATTTAACCTGAGTCAAAGCTTTTACAGTTTAAATGACTACTTTTTGAAACATTTATTTAACCAGGTTAATCCCATGGAGATTAAAGTCTTTCATTAAGTACGGCAGTATTACAAGTTTCAGTCTAGACAATACAACATCAGCCACACAGATGAAACGATGCTAAAAACCAGGTGAACCATGTAGGTTTCTAGTTTTTAATTTAGATATAATACAGTGCACTCTTCAATGCTTGACTCGGGCCAATACTGAAAACAACTTATCTGACTTGAGTACCATTGCTTACAGCAACTTTCTAATCAATCTATAAATGCATGGTGTAGTAAGCAAAACAGGCTAAATATGCCTGTTCCCTGTTCACCTTAGTTGTGAATAGTCAAAAAGACATCTAAGAGTCTGCAGCCATGCTAACAGGTTGGCTGTAGCTAGCAGGTATGCTAACACGCTCACAGTGACAATGCTAACATCCAGCTGTGTAGCAGGTGTAATGTTTTCCATGTTCAACATCTTACATTAGCATGTTAACATGCTAACATTTGCTAAATAGCACTGCACACAGAGTATAGCTTAGGCTGACTGGAATGTCATTAGTTTATGACCAAATACCCTAAAACTAAAGTAGTGGAGAAATTAAATTTTTAAAATATTTGCAAGTCTCAGGATTACCAAAGTCATTGTCTGATATTTTTTGAGATATTTCATTTCTTGGGGACTGAAATGTGGGGGACTGACCAACAGACTGACATGGTTATCCAAAGAGACAAGATGCTAGCATGACTAAAAATGTGCAGCTGGTCTCACATACAATATATGTGATCTTGTTCAATCAGAAAATTTATGGATAAAAACTTACATATGTGCAATGTTCATGAGTCGTCTTGATAGAGACCAGCAGGTGTCAGGGGTAAGTGTTTTGATTAGTGCACATGAATTACTGTTAAAATGTTGTATTTACACCTTCAAAATAATAACTCTTGTGCAGACATGAGAAGCACTGGTACTCTTGTATTACAATGTATCTGGCTGCAGTTATGACAGTCTAATATGAGTAACTGTCTCTCCAGGGTAAGAGGGTGGTGAGTGAGAGGCCAGAGAAGAGGCTGGGCCCTGTGGACGTCAAGAGCCCTACAGATGACGGACAGACGAGGCATGTGGAGTCCGCTGGGAGGGGGAAGCAGCCGCCTCACACGACCAAGAGAAACACAGCAGCACAGGTTTGAATCAGACACACTGAACACTCCAGTGATCATACGCTTCAGCTTTTAAAACCCGGCATGCACCCTCCTGCCTGCTTCCTCTCTCACATTCCCCCTTTGTTTCTTCTCTCGGGCTGCACTGACATGTTTTACATAGATGTCAGACATGTCGGCTGGCCACACCCCTCCAGTGATGGAGCACAATGGTTTGTGGACAGGAGGTGGGCTGGGGCTGTGACTGACTGGTGTGGGATTAGTAAAAGGGGTGGCTACTAACAGAGCTGTTGAGTAGATGCTCTCTAGAACCAAAACTTAGTACAGATGGAGAATCTTTAAAAGGCTTGGATGACTGTTTTGACTTTTTTAGTGTGAACCTACTCAGGGCTGGTGGTTGTTTATCACCGTTTCTCTCTCTGAGGAGCTTTTGTTGTATTTTTAGCGAATGAAAAAACACTCAGCCTCTGTGTGTAGATGCCTTTAGGTGTGTAGAACAGGCTGTGAAGTTCACAGAGTCAGTGCCATGAAAAGATAGATAGATGTTGTAACAGCTCAACAAAAGGTCTTGTTATCAGTAATATAATGAGATGGGAGATTTCACTTTAAATATCAATAGCTTTACTATGCACTGTATGCTTGAGATCCTCTGTTTAACACAGATCAGCAGAGACACATGTGCACATGCAGTACCCCTGGCTGGGCTGTGAAATGTCACACTGTCACTGACCTTAGGCCCCCCCAGGTATGCAGAAACTCTGTAACAGCTGCTGTGCCTCAGTCTGAAACCTGATGTACACACACATGCACACACAAATGCACACTCTCTTACAGACATACTAGCTGCCCAATCAATAAGCTGAAGCACAGAGCAGACAGCTGATCCTCACCACTGTAAACACAGACACACTCCAGCTGCAGGAGGGGTCTCTGAACACAAAACCAGTGGAGGCTCTTTGTAAATATGTATATACACATCTGCGTCTGATTGGCTGCTACACTGAGTGCTGCTTACTGGCCCGTCAGAGCTAATGTGCACTAAATCTATGAGCTGAACACGCTGTTCTCTTGCCTTTATTTCTGGCCCGCTTGGTCTGTCCCCCTTTTATTTATCATGTGGACTGAATCAGCACTTGAACAGTAGCCAGCGCTCCAGTGCACCAGTCATCATTCGTGAATCACAGAGACCTGGTCTGCACGTGCTTGCTGTTTACATGGCCATATCATTTAACACAGTTTATGAGAGCAGTGGGGAGAACGCTGCCGAAGGGTGATATGGGAGGAAAAAGTGTCATTCGTCTATCTGGTGTTAGAAAAATATTTGTATGGAAAACATCCATGATGATCTGCACATTGCTGTGGCTATTCACTGCCTCTGAAATATTTTTCTAATGCGTTGTTTGTGTGTGCGTGTGTGTGTGTGTGTGTGTGCACAAGCGCGCGCATCAGATACCCTGGAAATAAATAATTACTCTGTGAGAGGGGTGTGGTTATTTGGCAGTGTCCCAGTCAGACTGCGATGCCTGGAAGTTCCTCATGACTGGACGTCAGTTCACACTTGTGAGAAAGAGATATGAGAAAGGAAATTGAGAAAGACGGAGTGGGGGTGGGGGGTGGGGGGCCCACTGTCTGTTTCCAGCCTCCATTTCTCCTCTCCGGATCCTATAGTGATCTGCCCTCCTCTGGCATGATTGTTTCCCCATTCCCACCATCCTGAAAGGGCCGATTTGATCTAATTAACATTCGACTGCCTTCTCACTCTCAAAAGGCTCATTATGCTGCCAAAGAGACAGGCTTGGCAAGGTGCCAAGAAGGGGTCAGAGAGGGAGAGGAAGAAGAAGTGTGAGGAGAGAGAGAAGAAAAGAGACAAGGTAGTCAGGGGTCTTTTGTGTTTGCGTATGTGCTAGACTGCATTTGGGTGTGGGTAGAAGAGTGTGTGTGTGTGTGTGTGTGTGTGTGTGTGTGTGTGTGTGTGTGTGTGTGTGTGTGTGTGTGTGTGTGTGTGGGTGTGGGTGTGGGTGTGGGTGTGGGTGTACTAAACCACTCTGACCAGTGTTTATTGTCTCTCCCCCCATGGCTGTTCATGCGAGTGTTGCTGTTTATGACAACATGACTCATCCGCTGTTTTCACAAGAGCACAACTTGCAGTCAGAAATACAACAGAAGCATAAGTCATACTATTCTCTACCTGCAATATGGTGAGTTTCATTTTCCAAACCACTGAAGTTCAACCACCTGCAAACTACACTCTGCTCTGATGACGCCATTGCATAGTGGACATTTAAAACCAATCAAGTGCCTAGTCATGCTGCAGCACCACTACTCCACTTGGGGGCAGTGTAAGCCTCTTTATCTTTCCCAATAGAGGAGTCTGTGCCCTGGCTTGATTTGCTTTTACTGTTTATTGCAGCAATAATGTGACTCTTTACAACTATGTTTAATTGGTAGGGGACAAGCTGCTGTCACCCTCATTGATGTTATGTTAATCTTTTTTTTGTCCCATCTCTCCTCTTTGACCTCTCTGGTTAAAAAGTTAAGATCACACTGAGTAGTATCAGAGGCTTTTAGAGCAATGCCAGGTAGCACAGTGAAAACACACACAGGTATCAACATTTAAATATGCATACTGTTGCTCTGTCTCTACCTTCTCAGATTTGAGAAAAACCATGAAGCCGGAAGGTTGTAGTTCCAGCTCACAATGAGCACATGATTCACAGAAATGAAATACAAGGTTTCCATATGACGGTGCCACTATACGAGCACACTAAAACACAGAGAAATGCAAATATGTGCTCTACCCTCATCACAGACACTGACACGCAGATAGACGCAACATGTTACCATGCACACCCCCCTTTTTTAAGTGCTTGTCCCCATCTGCCTCCCACTGGCTTACGTGGAAACGTTGCAGGAGTAGATCAGAGCTGTCTCACAGATCAGGCGTGCGATAAACAGGCTGAATGGGGAGGCAGGGAGGACGAGCTTCAAAGGCCCGCTGAATACGCCACATGCAATGTGATGCTGTTCATGGCTCTCTGGCTCTCTGTGCCTTTCCTGCTCTACAGTCGAGTGAGTTCTCAAGGAAATAAGATGCAGACTTAGTTTTTTTTTTTCAGGTGTTGCGTAAGTAACTGTTTTGGTTAACAAATAAACTGTAAACCTCTGCAGGCATTTTCAGCCTAAACCAGTGCAGCTTCCGGAGGCTCAGCAGCCCAGAACAAGAGCAGAATCACTGTTTTTTCTCTAGACACCTTTATTCTACCTAAACTTGACAGCTTGAGACCAAGTCCTGCTCTCTCTCAGCATTGCTCGCAGTCTCTGTGTAATGTCCACCCTACCTGTCTTGGCCCCTGACAACCTCCCTTCAAGGCCCCATGGAGGCAAGAAATTAAAAAGTACTAATTAGCAGGGCGGCTGTGTTGGCAGCAGGAGACGGCCTGTTGGAACATGTGAGAAGTGCCTTCCCTTGTGGCCCCTGGCGTCCTCCAGGGGCCAGAGGAGGGGGAGGGGAGAGGACATGGAAAACACAGGGATGAGCACAGATGCTATGTTCACCAATAACTACATGCAGAATGGCAACATGTTTACTTGACTGTGATTGGTCCATACCTGAGGAGAAAACATCGCCCATCATAGTTTCTTAGCGGGACTGTGTTGTGTTTGTTTCTCTGACTGTTTTTTACTGTTGCTGTGAGACATATTTTGCACAGAAGCATGTAGATTTTTTTTTTTCCTTTTTACTCTGAAATATCATACAATTTGAAATTTTTTCTAGACTTCAGCGTCATCTCCCACCTGCTGTTTAAAAAAACAAACAAACACTGACCTGACAGGCACTTTCTCTCAGAGATTGCTGGTCTTTTATGTGATTTCCCTCAGAACACAGCGCTGTTTGTAGACCTGGTTTGCTCCAGGCCTTTGTTACAAGAATACACCGCCTCTGTCTCCTTTGATGTGCTAAAGAGCCTGCACCAGCTCTCTCTCTCCCTTTAGTATTAGCAAGCAATCCTTTCTGCTCTCATCACAATAATCAATAAACTGGTTAAGAGAGGAAAGGAGGAAGGGGACCTAATTGTGTTTACAGTACACTGCATTTCTGCCAGGAATATTGTCTCAAAGAATTTGATTGTGTTGCCTCGCAGTCATCATGGTAGACAAACAAGGAGCTTTTTGTAATCAAATGGGTGCCCAGAGGCAATAATTAGTACTTACAGTGAGGCAATGATTGGCATTTACAGCAATGTAGAATGCATGAAAATACCAGAAATATTGCTCCCTTTCTTTTGATCCCTACAGATCTGTATATTGCCCTGTTGCTGTTTAATTATTAGTTTAGAGATGAGCAGCTGTTCTTGTTTATGGCCACCCATGTAGGGTGGTTGTTGATCTGGTTTCCTCCACTGTTCTGATTAGTCTGTAGAGTGATGCTTCAAATGTATTGTAATGTGACACACTGAGTGTTTTAATTTAGTCATGTTTCCGTGCCAGTGTTTCATTACTGATGAGTGGACATACCCTGATATGAATCCACAATAATAAAGCTGCTTGTTTTTACGATTTTATTAAACACACTGAAATGTTTTGTGTTCACGTAGGAGCATGAGAGCCTGCAGGCCAACACAGACCTCAACATCCCTACACTGAAAGAAGAGCAGGAGGAGTATCTGAGGTGGAAGAAGGAGCGGGAGCAGATTGACAGGGAGAGAGTGGCACGCCATAAAAACGCAAAGGGCCAGTGGAGAAGGGCGTGGGACATGGACAAAACTGAGAACATGTAAGACTTCTTAGCACTCACTTTTCCCACGGCACTGCTCATGTCTGAGATTTCTCACAGCTGTTCCTCCGGTTGATATTTCATTGGCTCCCTCTATTTTTGTGTTGGAGAAATCTTTGTCAGTGAAATGTCAACTGAGTAGGTTCATTATTCTCCAGTATTGCTTTATCAAGGGACACTTGGTGGTGGTTGTTAAAGGAGAGTAGAGCGTTATTTATCCAGTTAAGAATTGTGTTGACCTCCTGCTTCAGTTCTACTTCTTTAAGTATTATCTCTTTATCCCTCTAGTTTTACAGTCTCTTCTAACATTTCCAATCTCCTCTAAAACACTTCATTGTGTTTCCCAGTAATCTCACATCATGTAATTTAAAAAACAACAAAAAAAAATTGACATGTAATACTTTTGGGGAATATATTCTGTGCTCTTTTGCCTGTCATGTTAGTGAGAAGATGGATACAAATCCCATGTCTCTATGTCAGTAGCATGTTAGATTATCTTAGGATAAAGACTGGAAGCAGCAGTAAACTCTTAGCTTGGCTATAGAGCTCACTTATTAATCTGTACACAAATAGAAATGTAAAAATTACGATATATGATTTTATGGGGAGTAACACGCTGGAGCTAACGTTATTTCTGGGCTAAAAATTAACGTTTTTACACTTTTTTTTTTTTTTTTTTCACATTCAAATTGGATATCTAATTAGACATAATGTTAACTAGTATGGACCAATAGAAATTATGATTTTTTTTTTTTTTTTTTTACCTACAAAGTTAGGCAAGCTAATTTCCCCCTGCTTCCATTTGTTATGCTAAGCTAACTATCTGTAACTTCATTTGTAATGGACAGACATGAGAGTGTCAGTCTCCTCATCTAAATCTTGGTGAGAAAGCCAAAAGGTTGAGCTCTCTCTTCAGTGCCTTTTACTTAGAAGCCATTGTAATGATAGTAATCATAGGAACTACATTTTAATGTGGTCAGCTTCATTAGCTAAACCCCTGCCTAACTAGCAGTTTTATTTAATAAGTGAAGTTTTGCCTCTCCTCTTCTTTTACTTCTGAAGTCAGTTTGTTTACTACATCTGCACCAAAATTAAACTGAGCTTTTCACTAACTAACCCTGAAGAACAGCTTGCTTCTTTCTAGTTACTTTATTCAGTGGAAGAATCTATTATTTCTGGATTACACATCATAACACATGATCACAAGACTAAATCAAGTCACAGGATGTTGCAAAAATGATTACAACACCAAATAAGTACTTTTTAGGTGAATTGTATGATTGTGTGCACATTATCTAATGAAATGCTACTATAACTTATTGTCTATTGTTAGATTTTCAAGAATACCTCTAATTTTAAAATGTGCCTATGAGCAGTATGTTGAACACATCACCATTCCTTAATGAACTCACACAATAGCACCTCAAACTGACCGGAAGAAAAAAAAACGATTCATTTTAAGTGATTGTTAGATTTCAAACAAACTTAGCTGCAGTACAAAGGGTGACCAAGTTGCAGAGTAAATTAATGTGCTGTTTAAGGAAGCATCAAAATGTAAAGAGACAAAGAAAGAGCAGCTATTTTTAGCTTGGGATAGGGGATGGAATGCCTTGCCTTATTTGGCGAGGCTTAAACAAGGCCCTTGAGTAAGAATAGAAGAGGAAATGTGTTTTTGATTCAACAATTTAGATGGTTTCAGTGCTTGTCAAATGCAATGGTGTGACTCGTAGAGCAGAAAACCTCTCAGTGCTTCTGCAAGAGGGCCATAGTAAATGTACGATGATGATACTTGAATGTCAGAAGAGCCTGTTGATGGGGTGTAGATGAGCTGTTCTGTCACCTGTGCCAAATGTTATTTTGAAACATGACCATGACACTGCTTGGATTGATTTGTGTGTTCTGTCTAAACTGAACAATTGCTTTTAGGTTTTCAGACAAATCCCTGCCTGACAGAGACTGGGGGTCCTCTGGCAGAGGTAAGACACAGTCCAGACATGAGAATAAGACCCTTCATATCAAAGCACGATGATAAAAAGATGGGCTTCATAGTTATCTTTGTGTTTTTTTATATTATGTTTTTTTTTTTTGTTGTTTTTTTTTCAATTCTAGGTGGACGAAATGCTAGAAGAGGACAACCTAAGGCAAATGTGGACTCAAGAGGTATGCCACACTTAAGTATTGTTTATTTGTTAAGTCAGTGCCTTAAGATAATTGTATAGTGTACAGAAAAGCTGAGAAAACCTTTGTGAATTTGTGTTATTCTAAGTGTCAGTAAAACGGCAACCGGAGAGATTTCCTGCTGCTATAATTTGACACTTTGTTGAAACAGGATATTGTGTGGGACATTATTCAAACAATTCATTAAACAGTGTAAAGTGGTGGGATATCAGCTGGAAAAAGAAAATGGAGATAATGTTGTGGTCGACAGAGTGAATATTATAGTTTTTTGACTGAAATTAGAAATTCAAGCCCACACAGTGAGGAAAGAATTAAAAATACACTGTTGTCTCTGCAGATATAGTAATGATTATTTATGAAAAATGTCAGTTAATGGTGAGTTAAACTTTTTGTGTTTTCTTGTCCCAGGTCATGAGAAGAGAGGAAAAGACAAGGGGGCTAAAAATGTGCTAGTGATGAGCAGTAAAGCAAAAGGCAAAGATCGTCTGACTGGGAGGGCGAGGAGGTCAGTCACTGCTAAACATTTAGACTATACACACAACAGCCTGATGTTAAAGCTGACTCAACCACTGGGATGTCTCTCACCACAGCTTCAATCATCTGGTATTAGAACTTACTATGACTAATGAAATATGTAAAACAGTTGTGAAGGCGCATTGTTTTCCTGCAATGTGCCCTAATGTACAAATTCCCTAGGATGTCATGAGACTTGATTTAGAAGTTGTGGCAGCTGACTAAATAACCCAGAAGGCCCCATTTACTTCTTACTGCCTTCATTTTTTCTCCTCCAGCATTTCCTCTGTTGTGAAACAAACTAGTGTGCTGGGTGATGAGGAGGCTTTCAGGGTGTGCTGTTACACAACTGTTGCTCATAATCTCAAAAAACATCAAGACCACAGACCTGGAAGAGAGGCATTATAGTCTCTCAGTGTGAAAATGTAATGTGCCAGATGATTTTCTGTCTCTGTCTCAGTGATGGTGAGCGTGAAACAGAACTCAGGTGCGTCCCGGCAAATTCTTGGTATCAGGCTGTGCTTTGGTCACAGCTGGCAATAAATCCTAGTGCAGTGAGAGGAAGCCCACAGATCACTAATACTACAACAGCTGAGATCTAAGACTCCGCTTGCTAGAGCTAAGCTACTGTACCTACAGCTTTGTCCACCTTTCTCATCCCGTACTCTTTTTTTCTTTATCTTACTTGACTAAGCAATGTAAAAGAAATAGTTTACTTTCTTGTCGAGAGTCAGATGAGTAATCTTCTGTACAGTAAATATGAAGCTATTGTCAAGAGATGGTTTTTTTTTGCATGAGGCTATGTGCACAACTTTTTTTGGCCAGTTGCAGTGACTTCCTCTCTTAGTTTTTGTATGGATTAAACAAACAGTCTGGTAGGCAGATTTTACCTTTGGACAGAGCCAGGTTTGCTGTTTCCCCCAATTCCCAGTCCTTTGTACTAAGCTAAGCTAACCGGCTGCTCACTGCAGTTTCACTCAGCAGAGAGTAAAAAGTTGTGTTATTCCCTTAACTTGTAGAGTTTACCATAAATTGTACATTGTAGTGGGCAAAACAACAACACCGCTATTCCCACACTGTTACTGAATTGGTTTTGATAAAATTATTTTTCAGATGGCAGGCAAATGAAGATGGAGAAAACCTACAGGTGAGAACCCTTTGTTAGTGTAAATACGAAGTGTGCATTAGTTAATTCATGTTACTGAAGAAACAAAAACACCTGATTTGTCGCTCTAATCTCATCTCTTAGATCTCTGATACAACATTGGAGGAATTCTTGGAGGAACTTGACGCCCTCACAGATGTTGAAGTAGACGATCAAAAAGATCAGGACTCAAAAACAAAGCTTTCACCCAGCCCAGATTCACTGAGTACGTCTGAGGAAGTGAGTGAATCCACAGCTCCTGTGTCAACTACTACCTTGAGAGAGGACGCCTCCACTCATGTGCGGGCAGAGGCCTCGTCCCCTCGGAGTTCGGAGAAGAAAGTACGTTTCTCAGAGGAACTCATCCAGGGAGCTCATACTAGGCAAACCACGGGCTCTCAGGAATCGGCCAACTCAGAATCAAGAAGTCAGAGCTCCTTAAAAGCTTCCTCGCCTAAAAAGAACAAACTCGAAGTGCAAGGGCCACAGCAGCCTCTTGAAAGTGCCAAGCAGGATGATGGGAGTCCTCAGGATCAGGGAGGTGGTCCGCCTGCTCCTCCTGTTGCCCAGCAGCAGGTTTCTGAAACTGAATGTACTAAAAAAGACAGCAACCCCCCCACAGCTCCCAACTCCCCCCCTGCTGAAAAAGCCTGTGCCTCTCAACAGGAGGGCTCTGTCCAGCCTGTTGAGCTTGCCAAGTGCAACATCAGCAACACTAACACAGGTATGAAATAGCCTCAATGGCCCTGACTTTTCTGACAGTGCGTCTGGATGATATACAACTAAGCTAATGTTGGTTTTCTCACATAGAGGAGCTAATAGACTCCGGTCTGTCTGTCCTGAGCCTGGAGTCAGGAGAAACACACCCAACACACTCCACCAGCAGCGACAAGGTCAGTGTGAGAGACAGGAAGAGGGATGGGGGAATCGATAGATGTGTAAATGGACTGATGGAGGGAAGTGCAAATGGATGAGGAGTTAAATGGATGAAGGGAGAGAAAGAGATCAGCTGTAATATGCAATTTCGGTTTAAGTATATTCACCACCTCTGAGGCCTCTTTCGAGTGCAGGAGAAATAGTCTCAGGAGAGAGTGCCTCTTCATCTCATCCAAGATTGATTATACATGACCGCCTGCTTAAATCATTCATGTAGAAGAGAAGTGATGGGCCTGAGATAAATTGATAAACTGTGAATCATAGAAAAGAATTTACAGATTTAATGAATAACTTTTGTGTATGTTTTTCTCTTTTTTCTTTTTTTTTTTTTTGCAGGCAAGAGAGCATGGAAAGATTGTTTGATTGACATTTTTGGGATGGAAATACTGAAACCAAAACACAGCGACGCAGAGCCTTGCCTCTTTGTATTTGGATGCATCATTTCGCTTCAGGTAGCTGTATTGAGATACCAAGTTTATGGCTTACACACAAAACCATGGTTTCATTTTGCTGTGGCGTGTCCTACCCATCGAAGTTTTCAAATATCTAAAATCTGACATAGGAATGGTGAACCTTTTCCCAGCTCAAATATTTTTACATCCAAGCACTTTATACGTATAAAAGTATGTGTACTGACACATTACACAGTATGTTAGTATGCTGCTTGAGTGCAATATCACTGAATGTTTACATTTGTATGAAAAATTTCAAGGTACATATCAGGAGGCTAGCTAATTGGTTTAACTTAGGTAGCCCTTGACAATAATCTTCAGCCACAGTCATATTATCTAGTGCCTGATTCTGCCTTAGAGGTATGTTCAATAATGGAATAAGTCTGTATTATATGATGATACAGTAGTGACACACCTGCAATAGAGGGGAGTCTGTATTTCTACTCTTAAATCTGTGGGAGTAGATATTATTTGTTAACTGCTTCCAGCATCAATGGCCTTCTGTGAATTAGAAATCAATACATTATTAAAGGGCACATTTGAGACACACTGTTAAGTTTCCAAAATGATACCACTGACATAAATGTTATTAAAAAGAATTTAAAGGGGAACTCCACTGATTTCACTTGTCAAGCTCAGTTTCCTCACCATGGTTGGTATGACACAGCCTGTGAAAAAAGTTGTGTAATGTCTCGGAGGAGCGTCTTGGAGTCTGAGAAAATAACCCTGGTGACGTCATGGTGATGTCACCAAGATTATCTTTGTCTTGAAAATCACAAATTTACACAGAAAAACTGTCTTACAAACTGGTGTAAGATGTGTGATGTTTAGCAGGCAGAGATAATCTAACAAAGAAATGCCATCAGGTTGCATTATGGGAACTGTCATATCTGGTGTTTCTGCAGCTTGACTCATACTAGGGACTTAAAGTAAGGATGTCTCAGCCTCTGCAGCACTGATTTAGACTATTCAGTCTCTCCAAGGTCCCCAACTTTATGGAAGTGCAGATCTAAATCACTGGAATATTCTTTTAATGTCAAGCTAATGGAGAGCTAATAGAAAAATCCATACTACTAGTCTAAAAACATTTGGCTGTTTTAAAATCCAGCTTCATCAGAACACTGTAGAAATAAAATCTCAAACTTGCCCTTTAACACATTGCTATTGTGTTTCCTGAAGTCGGCACAGTTTTACAGCTGAATCCCAACTGTCTGGTCTTCCTCGGATTCTTATTTTATATTTTTAGACACTTAATATGGAAGTGTAATGTATGTCTAATTTTACAAATGTCAACAATGGTGAGCAATGACATGAAAGTCAAGGTTGTGAATCACAACTAATTTGGGACCTAAAATATATTTTTTAATAGTTTTCTCATGTTGTTTTTGAACAACCATTCTCAAGAGTCTCAGTGCAGAAGGGTGGAACAGTCTCCAACCTTTTTCTCTGTTGAGCCTTTATTTACCCAGAGGGACAGACAGACTTGAGCTGCTGAACATACATCACCCAGCTCCATGAGGATTCAGCCTTTAGTTCATAGTCAAAACACTGGGATTCAGCTGTAACTCCTTTTTGGCATTGTTTTGTCATTTCTCTTTTATAGTCATGAAAGACAACTAATATTTTTAAAAAGCTTCCTCACTAAGAATTTAGTCTGTTGTTGTGCCTTGCATATTGGCTTCTTCAAATACCGAAGGTGTACCTTTTTATTTCATGGTTTGTATCATAACATACTGTAGTGTTCATGTACTGTACTAACAGTGCAGCATCAGTATTGATTTTATTTATTGGCCTGGCCATTGGACAACAGAATGTTACCTAGAAGGATTTTGCAAATCTAAAACTGTTTTAAAACAATGTGTATGTGCATTATATTAGCTGTTTATTTTCTCTGTGACATGTATGGATTTGTTTTTATTTATTGCCAGTTCATTGTTGTATTTTTGGTATCAGTGACAACTATAATAAGAAGCCTTACAAGAACTATGTCCTCAAAGAAGTTTTTGGTTTTCATCAATGCTACAGTGTAGTAAACAGTTATGTAACCTCAAGCAGAGATAATAGTGGACGTGCTCTGAGCTGCAGGGCCCTGTCAGCCTCAACTGTGGTTACATAAAACACAAATAATCAGGAATCTAGTAGAAGCACACTGGGAAAACCAAGAAACTAGTTGCAATGATTATGGCCAGTCCAGCCATGTAGAAAAATGGGCTGTTTTTGAGTAGGGGCCTTATTCTGTATTATATATGGAATTTGAATGAGTGGTAAAAGAAACATCTGTTAAAAAGTAGCTCATACAGATTACCTCTGAAATATTAAATTCCCTGTGGGATTCAATTTAGTGAAATGAAATTTAGGACCTACAACCATAGAGCAGTTTGTTCATGTTTAGCACTTGTTCATTTAGTTTTCAGACATTCTGCATTGTCGCCTCACTGAAGTGACAAATGTAAGAGGTGGTTGTGATTGTCTTGCTCCACCCGGGTGTCCACTGCTGTCGTCCGTGTTTTCACATACACTCGTAAGGAAGAGAGAAAATGTACGTGTGCGCCTGCGTATGAATGTGTGTGTGTGTGTGTGTGTGTGTGTGTGTGTGTGTGTGTGTGTGTGTGTGTGTGTGTGTGTGTGTGTGATCCCAGCTTTTTACTGTTCAGAGTGGCTCATGCTAACTTAAATCTGTGTGCGACATAGCTTCTTTTACTGTAGAACAATTCGGAAGGAAGGAGGCATACAGAACATCAATAAAGTTTTTCTGTATTTCAGATTCTCTAATCATGACTCATCATTTTCTTACACTGTCACCCTCTCAGACTCTCTCCCTCCTCCACCTTCCCACCTGTGTTAACACCATGCATGTGGATGAATGAATTCTCTGAAGAGTTGTTAAGTCTTAAGAAAAAAGACAAAACAACAAGGCCACTGTAGTGAGTCTTGGAGAGAAAAAAGGGCAGAAATGTGGATCAGTCTATAAAGTTTGACCTTGGTCCACAGAGTCTGCCTTCATTTTGGATTTGATTAATTTCAGATGAGCTCTCTGCAGGGCAGTTCAATTGGAAACGGCTCCCTCTCAGCCCTACAGGTGGGACCTCCCATAGGTGCTACTGTTTTAATTATCTCCTCCCAGGGCTGTCTCCAAAGCAGCCTTCTGCCACTGACACATTAAGGCTTGTGACCTGCTGTACAGTGTGTACAGCAGCCTCTCTCCTTGAAAACATACTGAAAGGTTTTGTCTACTTTAGCTGTTTGTTTTTTTTTAACACAAGCCAAAAGGTTCTTCGATCCCTGCAAATGAGATTATAAAACACACCGTTTCTGCCCTTAACACTGCTGGTTCCCTTTGGTGCTAAGCTGGCTAATAGTTTTTGAAGTGTCTGACGCAATGGTACACCACAGTGGGTGTGTTGGTATTATGGAAATAAGTCCTGTAGGCTGTTAGAGGATTGAAGTGCAGTGTAGGATCATATCAGCTGCACTGTGCAGTAAATAGCAGCATCAGAAGCTGCCCTTCCTGAGCAAAAATCAAGAAGAGCTCAACTTTTGGTAAAGGCAGTTTTTAAGCAAGGTGGTGCAGAGGGTTGCTTTTGTGTGCATCAATAGGCTTTCTGTTTTGGTGCCGGTGCTTGAAATTTGTGGCTTGGGGAGAAGTTTTCTTTGACAGTGGTTTAATGTGCTCCGTGCTTTGGGCTGGAGACCAAAGGAGCACTTTAGATCTTACCTTTTAAAGCAATAGTTTGACACCACGTTTTTTTTTTTTTTTGCTATCTTGCTGTGAATTAGATGAGAGGATCGATACCGCTTTCATATCTCTCCAGTAATTGTAAGGCTTCAGCCAGCAGCCTGTGAGCTCAGCATGAAGACAGGGAGACATATCAGCCAGTGACTTCAGTAATCTTGTGGTATAGCTCTCTGCAAGGAAGCAAAAAAAGTGCATTTCCCAAAATGTGGAGCTCTAGCTTTAAGCTAAAATTTGCATTGCTAAGATGATGTTCTCCCTGCTGGTTTGTGATGCTTTCCAATCGCCCTGCGTCTTTAAACAGGGCGATGTAACCGTCGAAGGCTCTTGAGATGTTTCATTACTGTTGATGGATGTACATTAAGTGGAAGCGAGGTCTGGCCCAGCCTTGTGACCCTGACTGAACCTTGCACAGACCCCCACCAGCTCTGTCATGGTTCAGCATGTAACAACCACGCCTCAGCAGCTGCCATGATTAAGGAGTGTGAACCCCCCACTCACCCTTGCTCCTTCCCTCTCAACCAGGAGACAGGAGGCTGACAAGATGTCCATGTGCTTTGTCTGTCGTATTTATTTGGGGTCGGCCCTTTTTTTTTTTTAGCATCATGAAATAAGTGTAGTCAAAGGCCTGTCAGTAAAATGTGACTTTATGGAAAAACATGATTCAGTGTTTAGTCGAAACGAGCAATCTTGTATCTCGTTAGGATGTTTTAGTACATGTCGGATCATTTTGAAATTTGAAATTATTTGACAGTGTTGCAACTTAAAAAAAAAAAATCATGTTTCATTTAGTCTTTACTTCTGCAGCTTCAAAGTGACTAACATTATTACCCTGACAATTTGTTAACAATTGCTAATTACCCGATTTTACCCCATAAAACTTCTAAATGGGTCAGAAATAATGCCTTGCCTCTCAGATACACGGTATAGCTGTATCCTAGTATAAGCCCATTTCTTGACCTTTTGACCTTGACAGATAGAACATTTCATTTGCATCCTATAAAATAATACAACACATTTCTTAGTTTGTTGACATGTTCCTATGACTATATATATATATATATATATATATATATATTGATCATCTGTACCATAGAAACATAGTTATTGGTTTGTCAACCTGCCACTTGAACCTCCAAACCAGCAATGATTGGAAAATAAGTGACATGCATTTTTCAAAAGGTCTTGAGACAACAGTGATATTAAACTCCCTGAAAACTGACAACACAGTATATTTATGCACACAGCTTCCCTTTTGTTTTATAACACATAACTCCCCACGTTTGCCCTTTTATTGATTGGAAAAGTTATTGTTCACTGCCTTCACATTGTCCCCCTGTACTGCAAGACAACATGTTAATATTTCATAACTTTTGTGATGGTGCCTTGCTCAGACAATGCTATATTGAAAGGCCTTTAATCCCTCCATCTTTGTTGGAAAGGTCTCTGTTGTAGTGTGTCATCCCCAAACATGTCAAACATGATGGGAGGAAAATAGTTTCTAGAAAGCAAAACTTCTACTTTTTATCCACCAATCAAAAATCTGTTTTGCTTATTGTTCGTTTTGTTGAATGTTTGAGCGTCACTGTGCAGAATGTTGTACAGAGTTTGATACTAGAAGACTGTGTGTGTTCACTTTCACACTGAAGGTGAACAGTTTACTTGTGTTCAGTATAATAAATCAGAGTTTACGACGTGCATGCATAGCTGGATTTTGTGACATATAGTTTGGAGGCCGAGATGCAACTTGCACACATATGATGTGGAAACTAGAAGCCTGCAGTTCACATAAACTTGTGTCTTGAGCCCTTTAAATAAAGTTTTAAACCAACAAATATTTGCATATTCATAGATTCTTGATTTTTCAATGACAGATAAGGTAGACAGAGTTTTTTAGCATATTAATTAAACTTTTTGAGCGGAAAGACATGAGATTATTCCAGAATAAATCCTGGCGAATCTTCCGTTATGGAGAGTTTAACAATTGTTTAGCTTATTCTTGATGAATATAGCATTAAAGTGACCAGTGCAGCTGCGACTGCCACCATATAAAGATAACTGTAGAATGAAAAGGCCAGCAGCAATGACAACTAGCTTTTATATTTTTTTTTTCAACGATTTGATGAACGTCATGTATTTTATAGTCTGTCCTGTTTATAGATAGCATGTGATCTATTGCCTGACTGGGGCTACACAGCAAATGAATCTCGTATTGAACTTTTATGTAACATATGAGTGATTTCAGCTCAGATAATGTAATCATCCACCTGGGTGACTGAGTTCAGTGGTCCAAAGGTCAGATGCTGTGTCCTGACTCCGACGCAGTTTCCAGCAATAACTGTCAGTACTGATGAACTCCTTCATCAATAGGTCGGTCATTACTCCTGCCATATATCACCAGAAGCCATAAGAGGCACTGAGAACACATCTGTCAAGGCTATACACAGAGGCCACTGCAGCATCGACAGGCCTGTCTCTGCGTTGTGTACACTCTGTGTTACAGTTCTCCGGTACACATGGTTTGTGTTGTTATAATGGGAAATGCTTGTCTTCCCTGATGAATGGACTTCCTGTTTAGCTCACCAGAAGCATACCTTGGCTTTGGTTCTAAAAATCTGTCACATTAACACAAGAGTGCATGTCATCACTGTTTTAAATCACAGTGCAACGTCACTTAAGCCACTGGATGCTCAGCAGAAATCAAGTGGTTCCTTTCTATTCAGTGTGATAGTGAATGATGCTTGTCACTGCCAGCACGGAAACCAAACCTTTTGAGCAAAGCAGTTCCTTTTCAGAACGAGCACTGGATCAAAAATAGCACCAAGCCGCATTGTGTAATGTGTTCCTCTCTGTTTTGTACAGCGCAACAACACAGCTCTCAAATCGATACACCTCCCTCACATGCTGTTGAGAGAGCGCATGGGGTGGTTGGTCTTATTTCCACTTCATAGTTCACCACATGTGACTGTGTGAAGTGGTTTTCAGTGAGAGCTGCAGCGAGTGAACTGTGGCAGACTCAGAGATGAATGCTTCTCTTTCTATGAGGAGCAGCAGACAGTCCCTCTGATCACACACTGGACAGTTCACTCAGGTAATTAAAGGGCCCCCCTCCCTAACAAAATTTGATTAAATGTTGACATCACAAGACTGCTCTTTGTACTTGCACTGTCATTATAATTTCAGTTGAACCTACTTCCTCATATCAGCTAATAAAAGTGGGATTTGCATGTTGCACTGCTACACCCTGAAGACAGCCACTGTTCATTTAAATCCATCTTCTCATTTTTGAAACAAAATGTTAGCTGTTAGGGAAAACCTAACATTTATTTGAATATGTATTTTCCATTCTGGCTCTGAGTAAATAAAATATCATTAACATACAGGGTAATTCGTGATTTACATAGATCTGTTATGGATGTATAAAACCATAGAAATGAATCATTTTCTAAGGATGTTTATTTGTACCTTGTGATATAGTTATACCTATTATACATACTGTACCTTTAATAAAAATCATCTAATTACACTAAAAGTTCATCAAGGCCAAAAAGATGTATGCCTGCCCTATATGTACATAACCAAATACACAATACATTTACATGGTTATATGCACATACCTGAGCATAACTCAATAATGCGGGTTCTTCTACTCGGAATCCAGGTTTGATCCATGAAAAGAAAAGTACAGCCTATGTTAAAATGCAATAATGCAGTATTGATTTTGACCAGCTGATGAATGGCAGTGATGTTAAGCGCTGTATGCCCGTGAGACATATTAATGTCCTACAAAACCAAAAGCATCTCTGGAGCCTTTGTCCTATTCATTTAACAAAAATATCTATACCAGTCTTGTACACACGTACAGGCAGGTTAGTGGCCACGGAAGCTGTCCGAGGTAAAGTAGACACACACTGATTTTAAGGCATACAGATGGCCTAAGACGGAAAAAAACGCATAGTTAGTGTTGAGGGGGGAAACAGTGTTCACAGAAGAAGCGGGGTCTCCTCTTTATTCAGCCATAAGAGCCAGGTATCAGGTAACGTGCAGTTCAGCATCCACATTGGGGATCTGCAGAATGAGTTTAAAGAAGAAGACCCGTGTGTTATCCGACCTGCGGCACTGAGTCTGCAAAACACTCCTTGTTGGGTCAGTTTGTGTGTGTGTGTGTGTGTGTGTGTATGAGGGGCCAGGGGGTGTGTGGTGGTGGTGGTAGAGGGAGTCAGGCCCGATCAGTCTCCTCTCGTCGGAGGGACAGTTGCAGAATCTGCAGCAGGCGCCTGTTCGGGGTCGCGTTGGTCTGTCGCCCCTACGCCCCGACCGCGCGTCTGCCTCTCCTCCTCGTCCTCGTTGAAAGCAGCGCCAGACTCCCTGGTGCTCGACTGGGTGTAATGGCTTTGAGACGCGCGCGTCTCTCTACCCAAAGTGCCCGATCTCTCCGCGCCTGTGTGACCGTGGGATGATGCGTAGAGTCCTTCCTCCTGCTGCGAGTGCGCAACGTCTGCTCCGGCACCGCGCGGGGAAACGGCCACACTCTCGGCTATGCCATCCCACTGAAACGCTTGACTGTGTGGGGTTGTGCCCTGCGTGCTGTGGTTGAGAGATAGCAGCCCTGTCTGTGTAGAGTTCCACTCTGAGGCATTGTTGCTTGTGGTAATATCAGTTGAGATGTTTGCGGTGGGGGTGACCTCTTCAGGCACCCCCGGCTTCCCCGCAGAAGAGGATGCACTAGTTGGTTTCCAGATCAGGCTGTAGTAAATTGCCAGGATAATGGCTGCTAAGGACACGGACAATACATATGCAAAAACAGTGGCTAGTCTCACCCACTTCTTGTTAGTCTTAGCAGCCATCTTTGCCTTTTTGTCCCCCGTGTAAGTGGCAGGTTTGCCCCTCTCCATATTGGGCATGAAGTCCCGCTCTCTCATATTGCCCCTATTTTTTCCTCGATGCTCCACCACCCCCTCCGTCTTGAAGGCTTCTTGTTATCCACAGTCCAAGAGAAGACAGGAAGCTGAGGGCTGAGCAGAAGGATGCTGGGCCACCTTGAACCGTCCGCGCCGCAGGAGTCTTTTGCAGCTAAATTGGTTCCTTGTGATTCATTTGATCTCAAAAGCGCTGCGCCTAACATTCGGCACCCAGTGCAGCATTGCGTTTCATAACGGACATCAAGCATCCACAGGCTGATTGAGCGTTTCACCATCCGTCAGCGGCGGGACAAACGTCTACCTTATACGACATCTCCGTGGAACGGCTTGGCTGTAACGGGCCTCACGGCGAATCCGCAGTATGCGATTTGATGTCATTTATTAAAACGATTAAGTGAGATCATACGGTACACAGCTGTCTGTCTTATCCAGCGAATGAAGTGGCTGGCTCAGCTAAAAATACAGGAGAGGGGGCGGGCGGTGGCTCTTAAAGAAGCAGCAGCTGTGCATGAGCCCTTGAAGAACCCCCCCCCCCACACACACACATAAGCACACACATCGCCTTCACATCAGGACTCTTGTGCCGCACATGGAGAATGAACACTTGCCCAAGTGACGCGGGAAAGTGTTTACCATTACAGTCTGCGCACCCAAGTGGGAAGCGTGTGTGTTGGATACGTGCAATGAGCCAATAAAGCGGCAATTCATGGGTTTTCGCGGGTGTTATGAATTATGCTAATGCTTATCCAGACTAATTTATCCCAGCCAACAGCATACACCCCACGTATTTGTTTCGTTTTCGGATCTGTTTTTGATCTCATCCTACCTGTTGGCTGGTCCACTTTACAGCGCTGTCATTTCAGCACAATGGACAGCGCCCGGGATTTCTCATTGCGCATGTCCTTTGGGAGGCTGCCGAGGTGAAGCAGGTGGAGGAGGAGAGCAGCAGCATTTGACTAGTGATGAGTCAAATTTAAAAGTGGTTAAACCATGACCTCCTGTTAGCGATAAACATAACTCACACAGCTACAGCGGCAAGAAAACTTATGTGAGCCCTGCATTGATCTGGTCATCAAATGTGACCCGATCTTCACCTCAGTCACAAGTGTAGACAAACGCAGTGTCCCTGAGCTGACATCACCTGAACGATTATAATCTTTTGTATCTTGATTGAACACATCCATTAAACATTCACAGAGCAGGTGGAAAAAGTAAGTGAACGCTTGGATTTAATAACTGGTCAAACCTCCTTTGGCAGCAATAACCTCCAACAAGCTCCTCCAGTTGCTGCTGATGAGACCTGCTCAATGTTCAGGAGGAATTCTGAACAGGGCTTTTCTTCTTTATAGAGCTGCTTCGGCTCCGACATTATTCTCAGGATGTCTGGTGTGAGCAGCTCTCTTCAGGTCATTCACAGCATCTCTATTGGATTAAGGTCTGGGTCTCTCTGACAGGTGGATTGTCTTTGTTTGAAGTAGCTTTACTTTGATGTTTAACGTCATTGTCCTGCTGCATCACTCAACTTCTCCTGACCTTCAGCAGGTGGACAGACAGACTGACATTATCCTGGAAGATACCTCGATAAACTTGTGAATTTATTTTCCCCCTCGATGATGTCGAGCTGTCCGGGCCCAGAGGCAGCAAAGCCTCAGATCCTGGTGCTCCCTCCCTCCACCCTGCTTCACCTTTAGGATGATGTTTTCATGGTGGTATCCAGTGGTCTTTTTACACCATACTATGCACCATGCACCATGAATTGTGTGTGGCACAGTCATGAACAGAGATGTTAACCAGCTCCAATGATTTCTTTAGGCTGGTTCATTTTTACCCCAGTGAACATTCATTCATCTTAGCTGGGTGCCCACTTCTAGGGAGAGAAGTCACAGAACTAAATTGTCTCCATTTATAGACAGATGGTCTGACTGTGGACTGATGAATATCTCAACTCTCTAAGGTGACTTTGTAACTCTTTCAACTTTATGCAAAACAACAGTTCTTGATCGTGATTCTTCTTGCGAGGTGTGGTTCACATCAGCAGATGCTTGAATTGTAAACTCAAAATGTTTAAGTGTCCTTCATAAGTCAAAGTAGCTCCAACCCCACCTTGTTTCATTGATTGAACTCCAGGTTTGACAACTCCTGACTCCAGTTAGTATCAGTTCGTGTCATTAGCAAAGGGTTCGCATACTTTTTCTAACCAACACTTTGAATATTTGAGTGTTTTCAATTTGGACAAGAACAACACAATGATTTGTGCGTCATCAGTTAAAAAAGATTGTGTTTGTTCATAATAGTAACTTGGATGAAGGTCTGACCAGATAATTAGGGTTGTAATAGGGGTTTGCTTACTTTTTCTTGCCACTGTATTAATCAACACAAAACGAACAAAAATAATACAATTACTCAAAAGCACAAATGTAGATTTCTCCTTCATACATGTACCTAAAGAATATTGGCTCACATCAGCTTGACTCTAATCAGTATACATTATATGTAGATGTTAAATATTCATGGAATATACACTGGATCATGTTTCCAGCATCCAAAGTTCTTAAATAAGTAAAATAACATTACACGGGACTGTGTAGGAACATCCCTACAAAGCGGATCATTGTACCTGGTTGTCGCACAACAAATCCTTTCAACACTGCAGCCAATCCTGCTGCCGCAAATATGACTCTTATCTAACTGTAAATGATGTCTACATGTGTAGAGGAGACAAACATATACCTATATGGTGGTGATATATGTTTTAGACCTTTTTAATAAAAAAAAAAAAAGTTATGATAAAGATCATCAGCATCTTAACTAAACAGAGCCTGTGGTGTTTCACCAGATGTCACTCCTGTGGTTCCTGGCTGGCTGAGCATTTGCATTAGATATTGCATGCTCTGAAGATTTATTTGAATGATATCCAAATGACAGAGAGTCTTTTGTTGAAAGAGCAGTTGGTGTAAATAAAGGACTCTTCATTATGACCACGGACAGATATCTGTGGCAGCATTTGATAAAATAATAAGCTGATAACTAAATAAATTCCAGGTGATTTGCTGTTCATAAACAACAGTACTATCCGTGGAGCGGAGCCATTTATTTACACTGAACAAGGAAACGATCAAATAGAGTAAATACACCCTCACAATGACAATTTATGAGAAAAGTCACCTGTTAAAGGGCCAGTTCACCCGAACTACAAATAAAACATCTTCTCAGCTACATCTAGCAGCGTCTTGTTATTAACATACTTCTGGTTGTATTTGTGAAATTATGCTTAATAAAATTGAGTTGATGGGAATTTTGTTTTAGTTCAGAACTGAAAAACCACAAGAAAAAAATTAAACAGTAACACGTCTATCTAGAAACAGTCTCTCTATAACTCTGCACAGTGTCAACACTTTTTATGTGGACTACAAAGGGCTGCCACTAGAAAGCAGTTCAGATGTAAAACCTGTTTGTAGTGATGTCTGTGGACTGATAAAGATGCTGTTTTTGGAACAGATTTAAATGTTTTCTTTAAGCACCACAAACAGACAATATTTCACCTCCATTTAGAATTAAAGCTGTTACCTGTCTGGATATGAGGTGAGTATGTTTTCTTTTTGTAATCTGTATGAACTAACCCTTTGATATCAATCTTTTCTCTTACGCTGTCTCCGGCTCTACAGGCAGTTTGACAGCAGCACATCCACCTTTAGTCATGTTACATGTTTGTTTTTTTTTTTCATCTTAATTTGCAATGCATATTTCTCGTGGTGCATCCTGTGTACAGTCAGAGTCTACTCAAGAGATAGTAGGCGGTTATGACCATGGTGGAAGTCCACACAGTGCATATATTCCAGCCGTACCTTTAAACTGCAACAAAGGCCAGAGGGCTAGAAGGACAAGATGAATAAGAAAAGATACTTTCTGGAACCTCCAGAGGTCAAAGACTACCTGGTCAAAGGCGACAGATTTACCAAGTGGTCAGAGGTGAGTGGATATTTCAAGTAAATCAGAACTGGTGAGTATCAACAGTCATGTCATGTTATTTTCATTTCAACAGAGTTGTCATTGCCTGATGAGCAATAGGAAGTTTCGTTTAATTCTAACTGTTCAACTTTAACACAGATGTTCAGTACTTTAATTGTTTCTAAGGAAAATCAATGTAGTCCTCTAGTTTAAATGACATCATTTAACATCAGCACAACAGCATCAAGCAGCTCTTTTCCAGAGGTTGAAACTCAGTAAATGTCCAAAATGTGTGGACACCAATTCCCTTGTCTCCATCAAGGACTCCACAAAGACCGTTCCTGTCACCATGAAGATGGATCCGAAAGGTTTTTATGTCTACTGGATCAACCAAAGCAAGGTAATCAATATTAAAAGTCTATAAAAGAAAAATGTCAGGCAGTGTGGACTCCAATTCAGCGGGTGATAGAGATGAAATGGCTTTTCATGCATCAGACAAACAACAATCTGACCGATTAAAACATACACCAGTGAGGAGTGGTCATGTTTCAATGATTAGCAACCACAATGTGTGTAATGTGCTGTGATTAGGATCTGTTAAAAGCTGTGGGATAGCTCAGAGCTGCATTGCACCTTCCGATCCCATCATCTTGTGGAGATTATTGATCGGTGCTGATGTGGGCTCACCATCCTGCTGCAGCTGAACTGTGATGCACTCGATGGAGAAAGAGCTATTTCTCTTTGTTGCTCCATTTCTCTTTCTCTTTCTCTCTGTCACTGAGGCCCCCTCTGGTTTTCACATCACAAAACCAGTGAAGCCAACACTAAATGTCAGCCGCTACTGGCACACTGTCGTTGACTATTAAGTGTTCGTGTGCATTTTAAATGGAAAAGCATCACCACACTTTCCTGCATGATGGGTCAGTCCTCACACAAACAAAGTAAATCCCATAGCTTTTGCACTTTGCCAAAGGAGGACTTGTATCTCAATCCATATTTGGACAGGCGCCTGCATGTTGAAATGATTCTCTGCTTCTTGTTTCTAGGAAACAACGTTCCTGGATGTTGCCACCATCAGAGATACCCGAATAGGAAAACATGCAAAACTTCCCAAAGTGAGTACAGTATTGGTATTTATTGTAATAACGTGTAATCTGATTTAATAATCAAGTCAAGCTGGTGTGTTCGTTGTGTAAGAATCTCTGCAGGCATGCAAATACAGTGTCAAGCCTTTAGTTTGCCCATTAGTATGAGAGGCATGTTTGCATTGCAAAAAAATGGCAATGGACACAAGCGCTCAGGCTACCTTACCTACCCCTGCTGCAGAAACAAACAGATGCTCACATAGACAAACATAAACACACACTGAGTCATGATCTGAGATTTCTGTGAGCGAGCTTGTGTGTGTGTTTTGATTTTTTTAGTCAATAGCTGAAAGCCCTCGCTGGCCTCCACAGAGAGTTGGAGTATGTAACCATCGTCATCCCTCACTGAGAGGAAATCTGAAATCTGCTTCCCTTAGGGAGAGCCCAGAGCAGTGCGTCGTCCCAGTTAGGGTGCTGTTGGAGGCACATCCTCCTCTCGGGCCCCTGAGGAGTTTTGGGAAAGTGGTTTCACTGCTGATGTCAGCTCTGCACTTCTGGAAGTAGCAGATAGAAGGGATTGATTGTAGAATATCATATATAGGAGAGCGGTGCCTAAAATGCTGGTCTTACTTCTGTGTGTGTGTGTTTGTGTGTGCACACAAGTCTGTGTGGATATGCATATGTTTGCATGTCCTGGTCAGCACATTTGCCTGTGTTGAACAAACTCCCAGGTGTCCAATCAGTGTAGAGAACAAGTGTTTCAGATGTGATTTTTAAGTAAACCAAGGATGAAAATTATATATAAATACATATATATATAAATTTAATAGCTAATTGACAGAGAAACACTGATATCTACTTTGTTATGAAACACATTGCGGGGGTATTTTTGCATAATTTCATTCTCTTCGTTTCTTTGCTCTGAACAGCACCCCAAAGTTCGCAACGTGTTCAACCTGGACTTTCCAGACAGCAACCATCTCGCCAAAACCCTGACCATAGTCTCAGGCATGGACACAGTGAATCTGACTTACTACAACTTCTTTGCCTCAAAGGAGAAAGTGACACAGGTAATAAACCACTGTATACACTGAGTCTGTGTGTTACTGGCTCTCTGTCCTTCCTCTAGCTGTTTACAATCCTTCCCTTCTGTCACTGATCCCCTCTGATTGTTCTCACACAGCCACCGGTCATTAGCCAGTATACAATGAAGCTTTGATTCCCCCTCCATTACAGCGCACCCTCTCTCCCTTTTAGTCTTTATTAGACTTTATGACTCCAATACCCGGATTTAATCAACTGTAATGAAACCACAATTGTGTTTTGTTCAAACGCAACATGCACCACTCTCATTTCCTGAGGTGCTATTATGTTAATGCCCTCTAGTGGTAAGTTTGTGTCAATTTAAAAGCCTTTATAATCCTTTCAGAGCTAATAACAGATCAAGCACAATTCATGTTGACACTGAGTGTAACATTGCTTTTTGTTTTTGTCATGAAATGCACATCAGAACTGGGCAAATGACATTCTTGCAATTGCCTACAACGCTGCAAGAAACAATGCATGCAGACAAGTCTTCCTGGATAAAATGTAAGTGAACATCACATCAGTCGGTCACTTGAGCTTGTAGATGCTGAGTGAACACCGCACCACTTCATTTCATCATGTGTAACTCTGTAAATCTTAGGTACGTCCGCATCTCTCTTCACACCAACAAGGACGGCAAGATCCCGGTGAAAAAGTAGGTTAGAGTGCAGCCTTCTGAAGGTGTAGGATGACGAGCAGTGGTTAGTTTGTATGGATTTCCATATTTCCCACTCAATCTTTCACTGTGTCTTCTCTCAGTATTTACAAGATGTTCCCTGCGGATAAGAAGAGGGTGGAAAGTGCCTTAGCATCAGCGCACCTCCCTAAAGGAAAGGTTAGAAACTACACCTTTGTCCAGAGGAAATGCACTTCCTGTCACCTCTTCCTTTAATGTGCTGGTGTTTGCTGTGACCTTTGACTGTGACCCCGGACTTCCCATTGAAATATCTTACTATAATGTAACAGTCCAATTGCGTGATTATTGTGAAATAAGACCACATTTTTGCGATAGTAAATAATTTTTGATAATCTTTGGAAGAATCATCTGATGTTGATATCATGTGTTCACATTTCAGCATGACACCATGAAGCCTGATGTGTTCACTGAGGCTGCCTTCAAGGCCTTTCTGACGCATCTCTGCCCACGGCCAGAGATCTACGAGATCTTCACTTCTTAGTGAGTCGACCTCTTTTACTTCACTGATTATCATCTGATACGACTGAATAATCCTCAATTTATCATTTTATATCCTTTATTGTATATCATGTTATTAATTCAGATACACACCTATAGTTTGGCTATTTTACATATAGTTTATTCTTATAATTATTTTCTATCTTGCATTTACCTTTTTGAGACCTTTTCTACCCCCCCCCAAAAAAAAACAAAATATATATTTTTTTATGACTATTTTCTATCATCATTATGTAGCTCTAAACTTACTCATCTGGCATTCAAATATTCAAAAATTCTTAATACGTATTCTAATTTGGTAGCACAAAGCCACAAACGCCCGGTGTAAATTACATTATACAGGCCTTATGCTTGGCCAGTTTGAGCCTCCAACTCATGCATTAGCTACCTGGCACAGGCTCAGGTGGGGGGCAGCGGTGTGTGATCGGCATGAGAAACGCCATGTGCAAGCGCTGATGTAACTGTCACGTCTTACTGCGCTCTTCAGCTCCACAAAACCCACCATGACAAAGGAGAATTTCACCAAGTTTCTCAACGAGAAACAGAGGGACTCCCGGCTCAACGAGGAGCTTTTTCCACGTCTGCGGCAGGACCAGATCAAAGCTCTGATCGACAAATATGAACCCTGTTCTAACAATACCAACAGAGGTTAGAATCATCAATGACAAGTTTGTTATATGGAGGACTGGCAATTCACACAGCTTCATAATTATATTTTTGGTTTAAATGCTTCTTGTTCATCTTCAGGCCTGATCTCTCCAGAAGGTCTTCTGTTCTACCTGATGGGGTCGGAGACATCGGTTGTGGTGCAGGACAGGCTGGCTAAGTGTCAGGAAATGACCCAACCCATACCCCACTACTTCATCAAGTCCTCCCACAACACATACCTGACAGGTCACATGCACCAGTTTGATTATAGCTCATAAATCCATGTACCTTATTCCTAAGAGATACTGCACAGTCTATTTGTACGTTGACATGCAACTGTAAGGATCGTTTTTGGGGCATGTTGGGAGATTTTTCTGAGACTTCCTGTCTGTCGCCCTGCAGCTGGTCAGTTCTCCGGTGTGTCCTCTCCGGAGATGTACCGTCAGTGTCTGCTGTCCGGCTGCCGGTGTCTGGAGCTGGACTGCTGGAAGGGCAAACCTCCAGATGAAGAGCCCATCATTACCCATGGCTTCACCATGACAACGGAGATCCTCTTCAAGGTGTTTAGTTTGCATCACTTTCATACATTACCTAATGATTTCTGAACCCTTCCTGATGTTGCACACTGTAAACAAATACAAATACATTGTTCAGACATGAACAGACAATGCAGTCTGAGCACACACAAACAACATGATACTGGAATAGAATTTTTGCTGAAATATTGTTTCAGTAATATTTGTGTTATTTTACTTCATGATCAAGCCTGGGACCATGCTCAGCTTGGCAGTAGACAAACTGAAGTTAGGGACTGCCTTAAAAGTGCATGCCAAAAGGCCAAGTTCTTTTCAGATTTTTGATAATAACTCTCTCACTTTTTTCACTTGAAATTAACTTTATTTTCACCTCCTCTCATTGCACAGTCAAAAACTCTATATCTAACCCTTAACCTGTTGTATTTCCACTATTCATTTCCTATCTGGAAGATACAACACAAGTTACCATTTATAATCAATTTCTACTGAAGATTAGCTTCATGTGAAATATACAATAACATTTATAACATATTATTTTAACTGTGAAATGAATATACTGAAAAGAAATTACTAGTGTTCTGTTTTCACCATTAATTTCCCATCTGTTCCATTAACAGTGGTCAAACTTATTCTTTTATGTTTTAGTGCAGAGGCTTGATTACACTTTAGTATCTGATTGATTTTGGTACATGTTAAAATCATATGCTATGATTGTTATTGCATATTTCTGGGACAGCTAAACTTAAATATATACTTATGAGGAGTATAAATAGCAGTAGAAAACAACTCAACCCAGAGAATTAAGCTGATTCATAACAATTCTCGGTTGAAGTTCTTCCCACTTCCACAGAATACTTGCGTGCTCTTGTTTATCACACATCTTGGGCCATTTTCTGTGAGCGCAGTTTGCATTGTCTCAATATGACATCGTCTTGTATACACTCAGAGTGCCACAATGTATCATGGGTACATGATAAGCCTATATATTCTCTGCTTACCTTTCATTCACATCCATGTGCACATTAAAGAGCAAAAGAGTGTGAAGGCTGAAAAGGACACAGTAACACACAAACACACACATACACACCCTGGGCAGGCAAGCATCCCCGTCATCCTCTTCATCCTCTCGCACTCAACACTTCCATTTAAGGGCAGCCAGAGCACCACTGTCCCAGGGGCCCGGACGCAACACCTCACTTCAGTTTACTGTCAGCCTCTGGATGTGATAGGTTTGGAGCTGCCTTCAGGTCCTCTGCATAGAAGCAATAGTTCTGCAGTTGTCTCCCTTCATCTTTTGGGAGAAAAGTCATGATTGGTTCCGTCTGTCTGCCACACATCCTTTCTATGATTTTATTCTCTTTGTACCCATCTTTTTTCTCCTGGTTGCTGTTGTGTCATCTGCTTGTTTGTGATTTCTGCAGCTTTAACCTTTTTTTAAAAAATCTAATTCATATAAAAGTCTTGTTGAATGAATCCTTTAAAAAAAAAAAAACAACAACAAAAAAAACTAAAACCAACATCTCTTTTTGTGATGTGTGACAGGATGTGATTGAGGCCATAGCTGAGAGCGCCTTCAAGACCTCACAGTACCCTGTTATCCTCTCGTTCGAGAACCACGTCGACTCGTAAGAGCTTTTCCATGAACTCATGCCATGTAATGCTATTAGCACAATGTAATAAGGTAATAATGGTCTGATGCCATTATACCAAATGGTGTATTGATGGAAAATATTAAGGATGTCATTCTGGCAGTAACAGTGTAAAGTAACAGATGCGTCTCTGCTTTGTTACAGGGTGAAACAGCAGGAGAAGATGGCCAACTACTGCAAAACCATATTTGGTGATGCCCTGCTAACAGAGCCGCTGGACAAATACCCTGTGAGTGCACTGCTGCAACACAGCTCACTGTCAAAATAATAGAGTTAGATAAAGTTTGTATATGGGGATTTGTTAAACAGAACACTTTGTCTGATAAATCAGATAAAGCATTATCATGTTATGCTGTGTGACTCAGCTGAAGTCTGCAGAGTAACCGCATTAACATGAAGGAATGACAAAGTTCAACTTTCATGTTTGTCCTCTTTCTTACCTCTGCTAGACATGATCCTATTGGCTCACATACTCCAGCCAGCCACTATATATCTGATAGTCATTTGTAACAGCTAACGTGTATTCACCTCCACTCAGCTGTGTGTGTGTTTGTACACTGCCATGCAAACATGAGTGTTGATGGATATTCCTACTTAATTCAAATGAGCGTATTTCTAATAAAAAAGAAATAATGTGGACATTCTTTTGTGTCCTCAGTGGTAGCAACAGCCATGACCACATACTTTTCTTTCTTCTTCTCTTTGTGTCTGAAATCCAGCTGAAGCCAGGCCAGCAGATCCCCAGCCCATCTGAGCTCATGGGCAAGATCCTCATCAAGAACAAGAAGGGCAGCCACGAAAAACCAGCCCAGACTAAGAAAACCACCTCAGCAGCCACCACCGACCAGACCACAACCACTACCACAACCACTACCACAACCACAGCTGCACCCACCCAGGTCACAAACAGCACTCCTCAGGATCCCGCAAACGCAGCACCCAGCACCCAGGAGAACCAAGGTGGACGAGAAAGACACTGAGCCGAATCAGATTACAGATTAGAAATAGGCCTGTGTAGTTATTTTTAGAGTTTACTGACATTTTGTTTATATATTTAACCAGAGGGCGACGCAGCTGTGGAGGAGAACGAGGAGCAAGAAGACGCAGAGGAACAGGATGAGGAGAAAATGAAGACATCAGATGAGGTAGTAGGATGAGATATGTCATCTGCGTCCGGCTAGAACAGTTCAAACTTCAGTTGACTTCCTGTCAATCCCCCACAGGGCACAGCTGGACAAGAAGTGACAGCGTACGAGGCAATGTCATCCCTGGTCAACTACATCCAGCCCAGCAAATTCATCTCTTTTGACAATGCCAGAAGTATGTCTTTGCCACATAAATTTAACCCAAACTCAGACAAATAGGTTTAACAACATACACTTAAAAAAAAAAAAAAAATCACAAGTAAACAAATCAAAGTTGGAGCGAGTTATGAAGTTCCTGATTCCTATTTTCTTCCTTCACAGAGAAAAACAAGAGTTACGTCATCTCATCTTTTGTGGAGACCAAAGGGGAGGCAATGATTTCCAAGACTGCTGTTGAATTTGTGGAGTATCCTTTAAGAGTGCTGCAGACTGTTAAGCTCCCAAAAAAAAACAACCAAAACCAAAACAAACTATGTTCAAATGAGAACATAGATATGTGGCTTTATTTTGTCATAAGAATATATTGGCTCACATACAAAATACAGAGATGTAACATTGTGCTTCTTTAACCATCTTTCTCAGATACAATAAGAGGCAGATGAGCAGGATTTACCCCAAAGGAACAAGGATGGACTCATCCAATTACAGCCCACAGCCTTTCTGGAATGCAGGCTGCCAGATGGTGGCGCTCAACTACCAGACCATGGGTAGAAATGGACACTCAATGCATTCACGCATGATAACCACCCAAAATGTCATAAATGTGTTGCAGGGCATGAAAGCATGTAAGCATTTGCAGTTCTTGTTTAATCACTTATTGATTCTGACGTACTTAAAATGCATTTGCTCTGTTCTAAGACCTGAGCTTCTGCTTTTCACCACAGCGGGTCAGTGTTGCACCTCTTTGAGCTGCACAGACCTCTGCTGTCCTGTGCGTCCCAAATGCTCACTGCTCCTCCTTGTGCCGGAGAGAAGGGGGGCATGAATTGGCTGCTTTGTGTCTATTTCCAGATTTCCCCATGCAGCTGAACATGGCTCTGTTTGAGTTCAACGGCAGAACGGGTTACCTCCTCAAGCACGATGTCCTGCGCCGCAGCGACAAGAAGTTTGACCCTTTCTGTGACAGGATTGACACGGTTGTGGCAAGCACGCTGACCATAAAGGCAGGTTCACGGCCTTGTCATTATCATGCCCCTCTGACTTTAACCACCCATGCAGTGTGTTTGGCGTAGGCCTGCCAGGTTCTGTGGAATAGAAATACAAGAAGGCAACAATTCAAGGTGTAAATAATGACTTTAAATCTGCAGTTAAAATTGTTTATACATTAAAGCTGCATCATTTATTGCATTGTAGGGAAACGGATGAACCAACTGTGCTATATGTGTAGAGCTGACAGCTGTTTTTGCTCCTCTAAACTGAGCAATAAAATTACCCTCAATAGCCTTGGGAAGTCTGTGTTTGTTTGTGTGTGTGTGTGTGCGTGTGTGTGTGTGTGTGTGTGTGTGTGTGTGTGTGTGTGTGTGTGTATGTGTGTGCAGCCATGTTCACTTGGTTTTCTCTCTAGTTTCAATTCAGAGTCTGTGATAATACAAGCTTCCTGCTGCGACTGATAAATAGTTCCTGGTATTCAGCAGACTCCGCATGAGTGAAAACCCTGAGCTCTATTTATATCCACTGTGTCCTGAACATGGATCCACACAACAGGACACATCCATAACCTCAACCAGCTCGCACATGTATGTCATCAAATCTTATTCATCTCTCTCTAGATCTATTCGGGTCAGTTTCTGTCTGACAAGAGCGTGAAAACAGGGGTGGAGGTGGAGGTGATCGGGCTGCCGGGAGACCCCAAAAAGAAATATCGCACCAAGTGGTCCAGCACGCCCAACGCCATTAACCCTGTGTGGAATGAGGAGCCTTTTGTTTTTGAGAAGGTGCTCTAAACATGCTCTGATATGAGGGTGAATGTGTTTGTGACAGCTCGGCCATTACAACCTGCTGTGCTGCTGTTGGTCTTAATATATTTGTTGTTGAATAGATCCTGCTCCCAGAAATGGCCTCTCTAAGAATCGTAGTCCATGAGGAGAACGGTAAATTCTTGGCACACAGGATCATCCCACTTGATGCCATCCAATCAGGTCAGTGAAAAAAAAAGCAAAAAAAAAAAAAAAAAAAACACTTTACGTCATGTTTCATCTAATCTACATAATTTAAAGCTTCACTGAGTCATCCAAGGCCTCGGAGTGTTTGCTAACTTCTTTTAGCCAGCCACTGGATCAGGGGAGCTGCTGCCTTGTTTTTCATTCACAGTGGTTTGTTTTATGCCCTGCAGGCTTCCATCACATCTGCCTGCGCAGTGAGAGCAACTTGCCGCTCACTTTGCCCGCTCTCTTTGTCTACATCGAGGTCAAGGACTACATCCCTGCTGCCTTTGCAGGTGCTTGGCTCTTCACTTTTTCTCTTTTTGTGAAAGAATAGAAAAAAAACAACCTCTGCTGTAATTGAATTCATGCTGTCAGAGTGATAGTCAGGGACAAGATCCTGGCTAGATTTAAAAAGGATGTCCGGAAGCATACAGCTTTTTTTTTTTTTCAGTTTGGTAAATTTTAAATGGCAAATTATTGCCTTACTGCACACTGATGTATTTGATTCTCCCTCAGATTTCACAGATGCCTTATTTAACCCAACAAAGGGCACAGAGAAGACAACAAAGACCCCAAAGGAGGTAATGAAAAGCTGCTCAGCCATAATCCACCAAAATTGACATATCACTAATGTCCTCAGTTCCCCTATAAAACCTTAACAGCACTAATGAAATTCTTGGAAGACGACCAGGCCTGTTAGATTGTGATGTTCCCGTCCTTTTTTGTGCCCACGCAGTCGTCAGCTGACTACATTTCCCCCTACGAGTTGCCTCTTGCGGCCGAAACCCCCACAGACAAAGCTAAGGAAAGTGAAGCCTCCGTCGTGGGTAAGAAAGCTTGTGAAGGGGACACAGTTCAGAGTTCAGCTTTAGTATGACCCTCTTGAAACAGGTCTCTGTATTTGATCACTGAACATTTCTGCTTCCCTTAGAAAAGGCTGCATCTGAACCGACACCGCCTGTTGATGCCACTGACCAATCGTCCCAGTCTGCTCCAGAAACAAGTGCAGAAGAAGCTAAAGAAGAGGCAGTGAACAAAACAGATACTCCACAGCCTGCAGCAGAGCCTCCTCAAACTCCTGACACAGCTGCTGCTGCTGCTGCTGAAGATCCAGCACCAGATGCAGGAACATCTGACCCCCTTCCTGAAGTCACTCCTTCCCCTGAGGAGGAAGCTGCCCCTGAAAAAGAAGCGTCCCCGGAGGCTGCCTCTGAAAAAGAAGCGCCCTCAGAGCCAGAGGCAGCTCCCGAAACCAAAGATGAACCGGTAAATGACTCCAGCACTGACCCTGAGCCTGCTTCAGATGATAAAGCAGGCACAGAGGAGGCTTCAGGAGAGCCTGCTGCTGCTGCTGCTGCTGCTGCTGTGGTCGTGCCCTGTCCGGCGAGCGCATTGCCAGAGTCTGCAGGATTGAATGACTCATCTGAGCTGCCGGCGTGCAGTGAAGGTAACAGTGAAATGCTTCATGTGCTGTGCTCATCACAGTGTCTCTACTGTCAATACACTTTAGGAAAAAGGTAAAACACAGGCCAATTTAGAGGTGTTTTTGTGTTGAACGGATTTATTATGAATGCACAACTGCTGCCAACACAAGCCAGAGGATTCTCACAACAAACCCCTGTGTGTTTATGCTGCAGAGCCTTCGACTGTGACTACTGAGGAACTGACACAGCACAAGAACTATCTGAAGGTCATCAAGCGTCAGGAGAAAGAGATGAAAGAAACCGAAAAGAAGTATCAGAAAAAAGGAGAGGACCTGATTCAGAAATGCTCTGACTCCTTTAAGGCCATGATGAAGAAAACCTCTCTAAAGAAAAAAGAGTGAGAGGGGATTTTTTTTCTCCTATTTGTTGTCATTTTGTGTTTTATTATTAGTTTCAAGCTGAAATATGGACGGGGAAAAACATGCCTGACAAAAGCGGCTTGGATAGTGTTGATTGAGGAGCGCTGTCACGTTATCATTTCAGAGCAAGGGGACCCATCTGTCCAATTGTTTACGTTTAGTCATTCACCAAAAACTGCTGTGTTTCCTTTAAAGCAGCAGTGAATTCTACAGCGTATTAATATTGACTCACTAATGAAGTTGTTGTTGTTTTGGTCAGTGTTATTAATGAGATTATATTTGGAAGCACGGAGAATATTCCTCAGCTAATGTGTTTTTCTGTCTGAAGCAGAATATTAGAGGATGAAGAGAACACCTAAATGAATATGGATATTAGTCTTCCACACAAAGCTCTCAGGATGAAACGTATTATTCAAGGCCGCAGGAGCATCACTCTATAGGATTTCCAGTAACTGCATGGTTGTACCATTATTTCTCTACTTGGAGGGGTAGTGGCTGTTAGTCCATAATTCTATTCCCCTTGCATATGTCCTATTGTGTCATATTTTGTGCCCTGCAGGGGCGGGGGAGGCACTTCAGACTCCAGCGTGAAGACGGAGCAGGTGAAGGAGCAGAAAGAGAAAATGCAGGTCGAGCTGCAAGCTCTGTGGACGGAGCAGAACGATCAGCTGAAGAAGAAGAAAGAACAGTTTGCTACAGAGGTTTGTAAAATATAGATTAATTTTCAAAGTCCACTCAGAGAAAAGTTTTGTCCCCCATTCAAAATAATAATAAAAAAAAGTCATCACTATTTGGAAGTACCTCAGGATATTTCCTCAAACCCTGTGCCTTAAAGCTGCTCTAATATCAATATTTTCACAATAACAATTGATCACATCAGTACATGTGAAAGCAGTCACTGGCAGTTACAAACCCGCAGAGAATTATCACCCACTTTTAGTTCCTCTCAACTCTACAAGGTGTTTTAAAGCCTTTCAGCTCATTGTTTTGGTTTTTCTTGCCTGTATATTTGCTGCTCTGGCTCAGTCTCACCGCTCTCATCAGCACCAGACAGCAGACCGGTCAAGTTAGCGAATAGCTGGTGAACACAGTGGAGCATTTATCAGCTAAAGAGTTGGTGGAGATGAAAACAGAGCTAAAAGGAGAGTGAATATTGGACTTACATTTCATGTTTCGTACAAGTTAAGTCACAACAACACAAGAAATCTTTCTTTATGATGTGATAATATGTCACCAGCTTGTTCTGCTGCTCCCAAGTGTTGCTCTCAACGTCCTCTCCTTAACAAAGGCCAATATTGTGCTTTTTACTTCACTAAACTATTTGACTCCGGTAGTACCATCAACATATATTATCATTTGAAAAAATATGATGGATTATTGTAGGTTAAATCAACCCAATAATATATAAAGCAATTAAAATCAGTTCCACTATTATGAGCTTTGACATAAAACTGTAGCTGATCAACTAATAGATCACTGATAGTAATCCAGTGGCAATAATATAACAGTCTCACAGGGGCTATTATGTATAATAATTAGTCTTATTTTTTATACTTAAGTACATTTTGCAGATGAAACTGAAACTTTGAACGCAGGGTTTTTACTTGTAATTGTCATAATTGAATGGTCCTTTAGTCATTTGGCGTCTTGAACAGAAATAGTTCATCTGTGTAGCAAAAGAGCTATTTTCTCAAGTTATTTCTCAAATGCATTTTCAATCTTTTTTTCTTTTTTTTTTTCCTTATCAAAAAGTCAAGATCTGCTCCTTGTCCCAACTTGGTTCTTTTCTTGTGCTCTCCTCATGCTCTGCCCCTGGCTGTCTTTATTATATCTAATGATTCACCCCTAAAATAGGATTCATCTCCATTGTTCAGGATGCATTCACATCTCTCATGGAGCACCTGATTTTACCTCTCTGTGCTGTGTGTCGGGGATTAGAGGCAAGCAGCCAGCGCTGTAGACGCTCTATTGATTATGCATCAGACCTAGGTGCTCGGGGCTGCTCTTAGCATAAGCTCTGAATCTGCATGAGACTGAGGGGTCAATCAGGTAATTTTTCAAAGGTTGCCACCTCAGTAAAGTGTGGACCGTACTGTAGAAGTGCTGTGGAGTGAGGTGACAGTTAGCATCTTACTCACAGGTCTTAAACCTAAAACCAGAGGGGCCGAACTTTTGTTTGGCTTGAAGAAGAAAGACTTTAATCAATCACACGGCAGGGACACTGTTAGAGTGACTCACATCTCATTATCTGTCTTTATCTTGACTGTGATTGTGTCACTTCCTTCTTCTGTTGTGACAGAGACTGGCCAAACTGTTGGAGCTGGCCACAGAGAGACACACCAGTGAAGTGAAGACCCTGGAGAGGTGTGATCACACGTACAACACATTTGGGACATGCTGTACACACTGAGAGGGCTTTGCTGTGTCTGTCCAATCTGTGCCTTGAGATTTTAGTGACACTTTCCATGTGTGTGTGTGTGTGTGTGTGTGTGTGTGTGTGTGTGTGTGTGTGTGTGTGTGTGTGTGTGTGTGTGTGTCATCTGAGGTGAAAAATTTGACATTTTGCAAAGAGAATACCTCAGACAGTGAATGATTCTCCTCAATGTCCGGGTCCTCCAATGTCCTTGACTAGCTTATGGGGTGTGTGTGTGTGTGTGTGTGTGTGTGTGTGTGTGTGTGTGTGTGTGTGTGTGTGTGTGTGTGTGTGTGTGTGTGTGTGTTATCCCAAGTCCCCAGCTGGCGGATGGTTATCTCAGGACAACCATTATCCAACAGGTGTTTAAACAGCAGCAGGGGAGCCAAGGCAGCCCTGGACATCTACCTGTCCACACAAACACCATGATATTGCATTTAAGCCTTTCTATCACTGTAAAGAAAAGGTCACATCGGACACACACAGCCCTGCAGCTCTTGTTTCAAGGAAGAGGCTTGTTTATAGGACAACTTTTCATTTTTACATTTCAAATCAAGTCCTTACTTTCTGTCTTTGTCCTCTCTTTCTGTTTCTGTCTTATTTTGCAGTGAAGCCAAAGATAAAATGAAGAAAACGCTCTCAAAATCTTCATCATCAAAGAAAGCAAAGTGAGTTCTTAGCATGACCTTGCCTTCACTTACTGTATGTGTTTCCATTCACTGCCATTCCTCCGACTGAATTACAGCTTGATGTCCAAGATGAAAAGAGATGTGAGAAGACAAATGATGAGCAGCAGCTCAGCCTTTTACTTATCTGCCACATGGCACTGCACATTTAGCCGGGTTTGTTTTGATGAATTTTTAACACCATGTACAAGAGGTCTAATTGAAAATGATTAATTATCTTCTCTTAGGCTTAAAAAGGCCATGAGCACCGAGATGTTGGATGAGAACAGTCAGTCCGATGGTGCAGTAAGTATAAACGTCTTTTATCAAACTTGTTGAAAGCAGTTTTGTGCATGTATGTGTACAATTAAAGGAATACATTTCTTTTACGTGAAATGTGCTTATTTGCTTTCTTTTCGAGAGTCAGATCAGAGGATCGATACCACTCCCACGTCTTAATGGGAAGCTACAGCCAGCAGCAGGTTAGCTTAGCTTAGCATAAAGACTGGAAATGGGGGGAAAGGACTCGCCTGGCTCTGTCTGGTAATACGATCTGTCAACAAACACCTCTAAAAGTTAGTTAATTAAGATATTAATTGTTCTTAATTTCATCTTAAAGGGGTTTGTGACAATAAGTAAAAACTCATCGCGCTTTGCTTGGAAACAGTCATAAAACAGTAACTTGTGGACTCATATTTTTACACTTTGATTTTTGTATGGATTACAAATCAAGGACAAATCAAATCAAATCAAGTCAGAAAGCTGACAATGAGATACAATAAAATATTTAAAAAAGAAAAAAAATGAATAATAGAAGAACAGAATAGAAATACAATAAAATAGAATAATAAAAGAATAGGTAAAATACAATAAAATACAATACAATGGCAGTAGCTTCATATTTACTGAACAGACAACATAGTGAGAGCCATCTTCAAATCCAAATCTAACTCTTGGCAAGACTGCATTCTTGCAGTCTTGCCAAGAGTTAGATTTGAAGATCACTCCCACCATCATGTCTGTTCAGTGAATATGAAGCTACTGTCAGCATATTTCCCAAAATGTCTCCAAGCTAAGGTAACTGGCTGCTAGCTGTAGCAACATGTTTAACGTACAGCTGTGAGAGTGGTACCAGACTTCTCATTTGGCTCTCAGTAAGAAAGTGAACAAGCTCACTACCTTGAACATGTTCATGTGAAGTATTACTGTCAAAGCTGACACCTAACATCTACTGGTCTGTTCAACACCTATTGTATTTAACAGTGTAACTATGGTTACAGAGAGGCAGCAAGTCTCTAAAGATTTGAAGAAAAAAAAAATCACCTTAGGCATGTAACAGTACTTTCCTTTCATACATCTGCACACATGTTCACATATAATACAGTCACGTGTTGCTAACAGATACACACGCACACACACACACACACACACACGCACACACACACACATTGTTGAACTGTAAGCACACGTGAGAATGCACACCCATTCACTCACAAAACACCCACATACGCCAACACACAGAGACACCTTTTACCCACTGAGTAAAGTGCAGCAGGCCCTGACCATAGGCCAGGCTTGTGCGTTACTCAGAAGCTGTTTACAGGGAGCGGGCTAATCCATGCGTGGTCGATGACTCACTGAGCTCTGCTCCTGTTCCTCTGTTGGCTCATCAAGATTCAGACCCGTCGTATCTGGGTTAAAGACCCGGCTATTTCACTCTGCTCCTCTCCGGTTGGCTCTGTTTGGATAGCAGAAAAAACAAAAACAAAAACCCAGACCCCCCCCCCTTTACAAATTAGGGTTGTGTTGCAGTTCACTTTGATCTACTTAATCAACATTCACCAATTAATTACCACAACTATTTATAAAACAATCACTTGTTTGATCAGCACAGCCTCAGTACTGGATGGCCAGCTGAAATAAGGGCTGTGTAACCAAACTGGACAAATCCAACCTGTTGTGACTTAACTGTATTGATTCTCTCTCTCCGGTTGCTTCCCGTGGGTGCATTCCTCTCTAGATATGCACACACATATGCGCTCACAGGGAGAAACATGAGCGGCTGAAGTGCTTATAGACATGCAAACAGTCTTTATCCCCCACTTGATACCATATGCACACAGACTTAAACCACAGATCAATATGTTTTTCGGTAGTGACACGTTGTATTGTTACAGTCCTCAGATCACAGCCCGCAGCAAGAGGCTCTGAAGAAGAAACAGGCTGCTACACTGGAAGAAATCAAGACCCTGACTAATCAGGTACACACTCTTGTCACTTACAGCTCATTTTGAACAAAAAACAGGAACTCAATTTATTGTGTGTTCAAAGGGGGAAGTAAAAGTTCATTTTCCACATTCTTAGGGAAATGTGTCAGATTTACCGATAAGCAAGTTTCAGCACCGCAGACTCTGATGGTTCCTTGACAATCAGAAAGTGCTACCTCATGAGCAGCATGTGTTTGCCATCTGGAGCTATCCTACAGCATCTAAATTCAGTCCCTGGTTCCTCATGTCAAAAAGCAGATTTAAGGCACTTTTTCCACCAAAAGTTGCAGCAACTTTAATTTTCCAAGGACCAATGTCCAGGAACTTTTCCCAGGGGTAGAAGTTCCTCCAGCACGTGGTTATTTGCGTTCCCACAGAAGGGAATTTTTTGGTTGTTAAAACTATCTTCCCGGATTTTGATTTAGACTGTCGTTCCTCACCCATACGCAAATGTAATACATACAGCTATTGAATTTCCATATATGAAATAATAAAATAAAAACATGTATGTAAAAAGGATTTATAAAACCTATTAGAAACTGGAAAACATTCATATATTGACATATGTTTAACCCATATAGATATGCATGTATGCTTATATTGTAGACATATGTAAATATATATCCATCCCAAAGCCTGTCAATATCTATTGATATTATGTACAGTTGGGTTCAAAAGTCTGAGACCACTTTCCCAGAATTGGAGAATAGACATTAAAATTAATAACCTCTCTAATGGTGGGTGTTCCCTCATAAAGTGACTGTGTAAATAGGTTTTGTTGCCACAGTATGATTAAAATGTAAATTCTTCTGCACACATACATGTGTATATGCATCTAAAATGCAAACTATGCCAACAACAAATCCCTGTTTTTCAAATACATTGGCCATGTGTCCGTTCAGTGATTGTACACGGTGCTGCAGTGTGACACATCCAGTTCAGGCAATTGAGAAAGTACAAACCAAGCTCCCACCGCTGTATATGATGTCAGCGCACTTTTTAATGACAGTGCTTTGCTTTGAATTAGTGAAACCCTGGCAGTTGGTATTGAGAAAGGAGGTGTTAGATGGTTGACGCTTGAACACCAGATGGATGGGGTGTTTTTATGTCTCACCATAGTATTAGCTTACAAATACAGTTTTTGATACTGCGAGAAGCAGTGGGAGGAATTCAAGTGAGGCTTTAAAAAACAAAGCAACAAATGAGGATAATTTATTTGCTTTAAACAGTAGAGCTAAACAATGCAATATGTATTTAACATCATTGACTTAGTATTGAACAACTTTCCTTAATGCAGGCACATTGCATGTTACATGTTATAATATATTCTGAAATCTAGAATCAATCCGTGCCACTTATCTTTATTCTTCCTCTTGTCAGTACAGAAATTCCTTTCTCTAAAGATTATGATTAGCATCTGGCGGATAAAAAATAAGCTTTAAAGCTTTAAAAAAGCTTTTAACCTCTGACTGACTTTTGGCCTCATGTGTATGCAGCTCAATCAGGAGGCCCTGAAGGAGCATGAACAGAAACTGAGGTCTCTGCCAGCGGAGGTGAGGGATGCAGTTAATGTCTGTGTGGGGGCTCACTTTCCTGAACTGGTTGACCAGGCTGGAGACAAGAAGGTGGAGGGAGGCAGCTTCTATGGAGATGTCTTTCTTGGTTAAGCTTGCCTTTTGATCCCTGAGCCCTCAGTGTCACCTTGTCTTAACTTTTTAAAAACTTTTTCTCACTTTTACATTTATTTTTCAACCTGTTACATAATCTATGGTCTAACTTTAGTTTATTCAATTAGGGAGCTGTGTGTGACATTTCAGTTTAGATTTCGGTGCTATTCGTAAAGAAAGTATTTTTTAGGGACTTTTAAACCATAATAAGGTTTTCATGGGTGTCAGGTAGACCAAAAGTTAGATTATTTGGAAATGATTTTAATTTTCTTTTTGACTCTTTATTTTAGTTGCTTTTCATTAGTAAGAAAAAAGAAAAAAAGAAAAAAAAAACAAAACACCCTCAACTGGGCTATTCAGGGACAAATATCTTCCAGATGAAAAGCCTCACAGTCTCCTTTCTGTTCTCTTAATGAGTTTAAAAATGGGAATAAATGAAGCACGAAAAATGTAGCGGCAAAAACAGGTTATCAGTCTGCCGGCTGAATCAAGACAATGACTCTGTCTGTAACACTTGAGCACAGCTTGATTTTACTTCTGTGATACTCCTTGAAGCCACAGCAAAACTGAGCATTAGGTGTGTTCAAGCCACACAGCAAGTTTTACAGAATGAAGTAAAGGTACATTTACACTGTCACAACAACAATCAAGATAAGGCCATAAAAAACTAGAATTACCACTTCACAGTTGTATACCTCCACCAACTAGTCAAGTTGCAGTTTACATCCATGTCTGTCCAGAATCATATAACATGTGTAGTGAAGACTTTGATTATTGGTATTAAGTGTATTTATTTTAGTTGTGATATAGAGATATATAAATAAAATAGATTTGACTTGACTTTGTCAAGCTTTGTTGTTCTTGTTGGGCATACTATATTAGTGTTAGTTCATTTAGAGAAATAAAAAACAGTTAAATTCCTTGTATGTTTTCACATGCTTGGCCAATTAAGTTGATTCTGATAGAAAACAAGGTTGTATGCAGGACAGTGGAAGATGCTTCTTGCTGCTTGTTACTGCAAAGAAGGTAAACATTATAAATTCACACGACTTCAACCCAGCAGCACAGAAGATCTTTACAGTCACCACAGCTTCAAGGTGGACACCCAAGATTAGTGTCACCATTTCAGTATGTGACCAATGATGAACTATGGTCACGATCTACCCTTCTCTTCATGAGTTATGGTGTTAAATTGTGGCCAGAAAAGCGGTTTTTCAAAACATTATGATGTCAGAGTGAAGTTGACCTTTGACCTTTTTGGATATAAAATATCATCACTTCATCATTTTTTCCTATTAGACATTTGTGTTCCCTTTTGTCATAATTAGAGTATGAATTCTTGAATTATGGTGAAAAATGTGTTTTGTGTGGTCACAATTACTTTGACCTTTGACCTTTGACCAAACTTTAAACTCTAATCAGTTCATCTTTGAGTCCAAGTTGGTGCTTCAGTCAAATTTGAAGAAACTCCCTCAAGGCATTCCTGAGGTGTCGCGTTGATGAGAATGAGTCAGACAGATGGATATAAAAACATAAATGTTCCCTTTGTAGTCAGAATTATTGCAATTTTGTCTTTTGATGAACAGCACATAGATGAGAGCAACAAGATGATGTATCCTCTGCATTATCAGTGTCAGTCTGTTACCATTATCTCAGCAGCTGATCGTTACTTCAATGTTTGTCATCATCATTTTTGATTTACTGGTTTACTACTATGTAACTCACTATGTTGATGACACACCGGTGTGCATTGCAGAGAACGATCAAAAACTTGGAGGCTGAAGGTTTACATGCCACAGCCTGCCCGATCACTTGAGACTCGACTTGACAGCCCTGGTATATCTTGCATATCCAGGTTTGCACCCAATCATAACTGCAATACTAAAGTGCATATAATACTGAGAGCACAATGCGCTGCCTGTTCACACCAACACAGTTCATACATGCAAGCTGCCAAATGCAACCACTGTGTGCGTTCAAAGACACTGATGAGGAAGGGGCATGCACTGCTCTTTCACTCCCTGCTGGCCGAGGTATCAAACTGGATACCTTCTGTTTACGAACCGGTTTCTCTAATAATTGGCCACTGATTCACCAACACCTTTTTTTTGTTTTGTTTTTTTGAACAGGGTGAAGTGAGTGATTTTCTCTAATCAGACAGTCTCATTTGAATGATTTCTAGAGGCCTGAACAGGTAGAGCTATACAGCATTTCTCAACAAAAAAGCCTCAAATTAGAGTACAGTCTTAAAATAAGAAGGATTTTGAGCAGAATAATTGAGTTTTTCTTACTTCCTAAGCAAGACTTCCTCTCTTGACACCTTCAATACATTCTTTGAGTGTGTGTGAGTGATTAAATTGTAGTTTATTAAAGTGACGTAAAATGAAACATAACAAAAATGAAGACAAGAGAAGCACAATCTCTAACTGTGCTATTTGTGACTTGATTGAAGACTCCAGTGGTTCATTCAGTGGTTGGAACATGAGTAAAGAGCTGATGGTGATGACGGCCAAGGAGCTGGTCAGTGTGTAATTTGGCACATTATGGCCTGACTGATTCATAATACCACATAATTGCAATATCTTTTCTCTCCAACTAATACGACGGAGCAAGTGCTCTTTTCAAAACAGAGCTGAAATAAAGGCACGTGGACCACACAGAATGCATGTAATTTGGATTTTTTTTATTTTTAAACTCACGGAAATTGAGAAATGTCCCAACTTCATTTCAGCTCTCTGTTTACACACACATGCTGTACAGTTATTAATGACCACAGCTTTTCCCTGACTCTTTATCCGAAGCAATCAGCCCATTTGTCTTATTTCCTTTTCACATTTCTTCTTGTGAATCAAATGACATGTGTGACATTTAAAAGAGGAGGATCTGGACGAACCATGTCTGCGAGACACAGCTTGTGCCTGAGAGTCCTGCCACCTCATACACAACACAGATGCACTGTGAGCTTTAGAGTGTGAAACCAGTCAGCCCTGAATCACTGGGCTCAATAATCTTACATAAAACGGAGACAACTCCGGCAGCTCTGTCTCAGACCAGCTGGAGAGGGATGGCCTGAGCAGGATCTTTAACCACATGGCAACACTTGGCTGCTCTCTGACACTGGACAGAAAGCCAAACTATGAAGGAAGTGCTTCCAGTCACACACACACACACACACACACACACACACACACACACACACACACACACACACACACACACACACACACACACACACACACACACACACACACACACACTGAAGCAGATGTTTAGATGGAAAATGTAATAATGATTGCTAGAGGAATTCCCAGTGTATGCATGCTCAGACAGAAAAATGTGAAAGGAGATGGAATTAAAAGGTACGTGAAGGTTAAAGAGAACATAAAAGAAATGATCTAGTAAAAATCTTTACTAGTGTTTTAAATGCAGTCGTAATGCTTTACATATTAAATATGGGCTGAATGGTGCATGTGGAGCATGAATGTGTTGTAAAATGCTTCACAAACCTCAAACAAGTGCTGGATATATGTGGTTTTATGGTGATTTGCTCCACATATTTTACCTAATAGGGGATTGTATTAATTTCATCTCACCGTGAAAATATTTATTTAGAGAAATTATCACAATCCAAAAGCATACAAACTGTTAACACTAGCCATCAGTGTGATCCTGCTGAATCTTGGCAGTGGCTGAAGAGACAGTTCTAGCTTTTGTCCATTGCAGTCTGTGCTCAATCAGTCTATTTTAATCCTTAAAAAAACAACTGAGAAACCAAACCCAGCAATTTAAAGACTCTACACAGTGGCTGCACAATGTTGTAGTTTACCTTGCAAAACGCAAGATTAGAATAATATTAGCAGAGAACAGAAAAGGGATATTTTTGGCCAGATAAACTCAAAGAATAAGGACACTGTGAAGTACATGTAATGAGTGAACTACCCAGAGTTCACTCTTCTCTATTCTCTTCCTCTTGTTGTTTCCTGTGTGAGGAAGCGGGTCTGACTTGCAGAAGGTGGGGAGTCATGATCTATAGTCCATCTTGGCTTGAAGTGGGTGCCATCCTGGATGAATATTAAGCGCCCACACCGCCCACATATACACCACCTGCTGAGGCTGCACTGTCACAGGCTGTTTGTGTGTGTGTGTGTGTGTGTGTGTGTGTGTGTGTGTGTGTGTTGGATCACTCTGTGGGCTGCATACTGTACTTTTAAACAAGTAAAAACCACAGCCAAGGCAAGAGATTTCAATAAAATACTGATTCCTTTGCGCATAATTTGCTCACATGCTGTCACCAGGCTGCAGGAAGTTGTTCTTTGTTCCAGGATACCTTACACAATCCCATTAAAATCATGGTTTTGGCATGGGATTAGCAGCAGCCTAATGAGTATTCCAGGAGGCTCATCTCCCTGTAGTCCGTCACCCTCTTCTCCTGTGTGTTACATGAGCGCTGAGGACCTGTGAGAGGCACCTCCACGTTCTTAGAGATGCAAATTTTAACTTCCTGCATGTGGCAAGGATATGGTGCTTACATTAGATGCAAACAATTACACAAGTGCACACACACACACACACTGACACCCACATACTGAAAGCCAGCGCCAGACAGCACTTTCATGGCTACTTGAATTCTGATTTTCTCATGTTCCCCAGACAGTTTTGGAGCTAAAATTCATGCCATCAGGCCCAGGTTGGGTGATTTATTCTGCTCTTACTCTGGCACTCTACACCATTTGGATACCACGTTGCCTGATGATATCTCCATTAAAGCCCCAACCTCTCTGGGGTGAGAGCATCTGTCTCACTGTGAGTTAAGAGGGCCGAGAGACAAGAGTCATATCAAAACCCTGGCAGCTGACTGTGCTATTATGTAATCACAAAGATGCCTGATTTGAACTGCAAATGGCTGTTCTCAGTGATCTACACTGTCCACTTGTTTCTGCATTGTTAATATGAAGTGACATGAAACACTGTTAAATTTTCAACTAGGGTCAAATAATTGC